CAGCACTGGTAAAATACAGAATAGGAGAAGATTCTGTCTTCATGGATTACCAGAACTATTTTTTCAGATACTGTAAGATGTCATAACAACTGCATCTTGAGAAGAAGATCAGGTCTGTCATTATTTAACATTAGACTCTTGAGGAGAAAAAAAAGTGGTAAGTATATACAAAAAGCCCACATATAGCTGAAAATACAAAATTTTACAAAAATTACATTATTTGATTGAATTTATATATGTATCTAAGTGGGCATGGGTTAACACAGTTGGCTTTATTTTTTGTTATTATTTAAGAATCCTGACAGAAAACTGCCTCTATCAGACTGAAGCTGTGCTAATTTATTGCTCTCAATAGCTGAACACTGACATGGCATAATTTTAAGCTGCCCCATGATTTGGAAGATTTTAATGTACAACTATTTAAAAAATCGATTGCTTACCACCCAAAGCCATTTTTATGGATCACTAAAGTTGCCCACTGCTGTCACTGTGTCCTTACTTGTGTTTGAAGACGTGGCAGGATGTGGGCTTAAGTTTGCTGTGCTGGGGGACTTGAGCCACTTGTGTCTATGCTGGGCAAAAGAGAAGAGCTTAAGTTTAAGCCAGTCTTTTCCCACATCTGATGTTCTCAGCCTGGCCCCCTGACAGCACACTTGTGTTGGATTTTCAGAAGCAGAGTTGGTAGCTGTGGCATTTGGACMAGACTGAGATCAGAGATCAACACTCATCTGCCAAGGCCATGGCACGGTGCAGAGAAATGTGCTGTCTTCAGTGGGATTGTGTGATTTGGAAGCGTGCAACTTRTTTATCAGTCTGCTAGAGGAGTAAAAGTGAGATTTACCCCATAAAACAGTGTTTTAACTGCCTGAGACAGAGAATGATTGTGGTAATTTTTTGAGTMTAGTTACAATTTTACCATCTTATCGATGCTACAAGGCACCTCAGTGACACAGTTAGCAATGACAGTTGTTCCTGCTGGCTAAAACCTCCTTTTTTTTTTTATTCAAATACATCCACCGCCTTTCCAGATTTGGTAATCTGGAAAGATTCCAGACAACTGGAGAAGGTGAGCACCTTGCCGTGGTTCAACTGGCACCACCGTGTGGCTCAGTCACCCCAGCAGCAGGGCTGCATTCGAGGGGAGCAGGATAAAATCAGYGGGGGAAGCCTTCATGTGCTCTCAGCCACCAATAGTGACACGTAACACCCATTGCAGGCTCAGAGCCCTCATGCAGGCCAGCAATTGAAAGCAAATTAAGTGCATTTTGGAAACTAATGTTGCTTTATTTGGCAACGACTTCTCTCTCTCATTATGCCTCATTTTAGATGGAAAGTTGGAGGTAACGCAATATTTGTATTGGATATTATTGTTCCCAAAGCAGAGGTTGAACCTCTCTAGTAAGTCAGCACTGATAACTCCCAGCCTGCCAAAATTTCTCCCCTGGCTTAAATACCAAATTCATCACATCACCTCCCTAATTTGCACTTTTCAGAGTCTCAGGATTTGTAAGATCTTTTTCAAATAAATGGAATTTATGTTACGTGTGTTAATTCAGACTTTGCAGAGTCCATGGGACTAGAATTCAAATAGTTATAAAGCCAAGTGATTCATCGGGCTGAAGGGCTGATCAATGGGAACACTTAGGTGTCTGATAAAACAGAACAATTTTTAGTGAAGCTTTGGTGAGAAAACCAGGTCAAATTTCAAAACTCCACAATAAAATACAATCAGGATTCCCCCTCACTACAGTGTGACACAGAATGTGTGGCAGGAATTTAYATGGGCAATTAAGCTGGTCCATTTGTGGTTTAGGACATAATTTCAGGGCATAACTCTAAGAAAAGAAAAGGGATTTATACGTGACCAAATAATGGGCAGAGCATGAGCAGCTCATACATCAACTTGTAAGTGCCATATAAAAAATAAATTACTATTAAATTGGTGTATAATTCCAGTTTCATATTCAGATCTCTCCAAGAATGGCCTCTTAGAGCTSAGCAAAAATATCTGAAGATTTGTAGAATACAATCAATCTCAAGCTGTGCTGAATAAAAWCCTACTTCAACTCCCTTGCCAAACAAATTTGATTAATGAGGTGCTCTAACAGTTGGTTAGAGACTGGAACACACAACTATTCTGAAGCTGGACAGAACAACAAAAGAACACCAAACAATCTCAATCAATATTTTTTAAAACTCACCTAAATTAAGTAAGGACAGTCCTCAAATCTATCTTGCTTTATTTCTTTTAAATTAGAGAGTTGCTTCCCTAAATACATATATGTGTGGTGTGGATATCTAGTCAGCTCTTCATCAAGGAGGGAACAGATTGTTTCTATTTGAGTGCTATTTGAGTGCTTTATTTTTTTTTTTCATTTTTTTTTCCTTTTATTGTGTGGCTGTAATGACAGACTAAAAGATTTGGCAAAAATACTTCTTGATTCTCAGAGACGTTGACCGTCTGGTGAGATCCATCCACACACCCTTGCTGAATATGAGAGTTTTATAACCCACATTCATGGAGTGGACAACCTTTTCCTTCTCCTTGCTGTACAGCCAATACCATTTGGCAGATCATGTGCTGGACAGATTTCACACGGTTTTCCACAGTGTGTGTGCATGTGTGTCTGGATAATGTAGCCTCGGAGAACTGTYCAATTTCAGTTTTACAACAAGTGAGGTCTAATAACTCTGGCAGGATTCCTACTTGAAAGTGGTTACTTTTCTTCTTGTCAGGCACTTGTGAAGGTTGTGATAGAGGTGTCTCAAAGGAAAGAGAAGTGAAGACCATGAGGGGATATTGTTTGACATGAGTGACAACGTTCTCTCTTGGGACAGYTAAGAGCTGTCTTCACTTTGACTTATTCTAAAAACCACACCAGCCCTTTTTTTTTCTTTTTTTTTTTTACCTTTGCAAGTTTTAAATTTGATATTAACATGACTGATGATGTTGTCAGATGCCTAATCCCTTCACCACCAGAACAGTAAAATGTTCAGAGCCACAGCTAGYATGTTTCTATTTTATAGCTCTAGTTTTAGGTCCAGCAATCTGTTCACATTTCTACATGCACCTTGTTTGGATATAAGARGATCGAGCTGATGATCAGCACATAATTCAATCTGTGATACCAGAAACAGAGACCACTGCTTGCTTTCACTGGAAAATATATTATCCTGTTCTTTTAGATGGCAAAAAATGGTCATCTTTCATTTTATCAACTGTGCAGAATTCAGAAGAGTGAGGATATGTGAGTGTACAGTCATCTCTTTTGAGAAGAAACAGAAAAATAATGTGGAAAGACAGGTAATTATGCTATGAAAGCAACTAAGGGGTTATCAGTCTTTCAAAAATAGCAAGCTGAAAATAAGAAATCACAGGACTACTTGTTAGGGACTTGTCTGGAAAAAAATTCAATTAGATGTTATTTTAAGATTTGCATGTAATTCCCCTACCCACAGAGTAACAATATATAAATGTGTAGCAGTTTATTATTTCAACATCATAATGAGAAAAATACCTGAAAACATGAGACTACATGAATGTGTGSTTGCACAGACTCTAACCACATAGATTCATAACAAAACTGGAAGAACTATAATACAAGTGGGGAAGAAGGAAAAGGGCACATAAAAACCAGTGCAAGTACATCCAGAAAAAAAAATATATCTGCAAAAGATCAGTGAAAAACACCTATGGAATCATACGAATCATTGGGAAACTGCTAAAATTTGGTATTGGAAACACACAGAGACGAATGTTCATTAAACAAAATTCAACACAACATCCTCAGCTGTACTACAGGCTCAGAGAAAGGTAGCCCTGAGACATCTCTCTTTCTCCGGTCACAGGACTGCAATGGGAATATTGTGACCCTGAGCAGCAAAAGTTCAAAATCTGAGTGCTGAGCCCAAAAATCTGAGTGCTGAGCTCAGTCTGCTCTGTAAGGATTGCTTCTCCGAGCAGTGGCTGGGAAGGGCTGTTTCCAGCCCTGGCTAAACCCTTCTCTGCAGAGCTTCAGAGAGAGAATTGAGGACAAGCTGCAAGACCCCTTTCTCTGGTGATAAAGCAGCCTGGGCATTGAAAGAAGGAGTAGAATAGATGGCAGCATGAGTTGTTTCTTTGTCAAGGTATAAACTTTGATTTGAGGAAGTACCTGTGAAAGGATTCCACTGAGACTCTTCAAGTGCTGAGAAAGAAGGAAGTTTGTTACCAGGAAACCTCAAACCTAACTTCTGCAGAACTCCAAGGGTTTAGGAAGAATCAGAACCACTTGCACAGCTTCAGCASTCTGCATTAACTCTGGTGCTGCTGAATGACTGTGATCACAGRCCATCCTCCCAAATCACACGGAGCTGGAATGGAGAAAGAGCTCTTCTGCATACAGACCTTTCTCAATACTAACCTCTCCTCAAAATCCTCTAATGTTTCCTAGCCTGTGCGCAGAATCCAGAATGCACTGGCAGCTGTGTGGAAAAGGCYACCTAACCATGCTTTGTGTGGAAGGGGCAGGTGATGACAGAGGAGCACCCATTTCAGKTTCAAACACTGTGATAAGGGCAGTCTGGGCAAGAGGGAGGAAAGAGCAAAACACAGCCCATTATGAAATCCCCTGCTCATATTACTGGTTAAAATACTAAGAGGGGTCAGAGACAYAAGGAACAAATGCAGGAGAAAACAAAATCAACAAGTGAAAAAAATTATACCAGGTAACAAATGAGATGACCTCCAAGGAGAGAAAGCACCTGGAGCCAGGCCCATGTCAATTTTGGGAGCATAAAGGAATTGACCACACCTTGTCTGGAAGGCCATTGTTTCTCTTCATAAGAATATAGACGGCTGAGAACAATGGCCRCTACCTGTCTGGTACACATTTTTTGTTATGGACTTAAGCAGGGATCATTTTGCCCTGTGTATATTTGAAATTCATTCTTGACAAAACCTTATATAGAAAATCCAGAGAAGAACAGGCATTTTCATCTTCTTAAAATACTGCTGTATTCCATCTGGAWAAACCTTGAGGGTACGCATATATAACTTGGCCAAATGATTAACAGGAAAACACAATTATGTAAAAATATTTGAATGATGTGAGCTAGGGAAAAAAGGAGAGGAACAAATGGACATATTTTCTGAGATGCTATTATTATTTAACAGTCAAGAACAAGAAAAGACAAACCCTAATGCCAGAGGAAGTAATTGCAGCAACGAAAAAAGTACATTTAATTTCTCAGGTAATTTCAGTTCTAACACATCAATCACTTTATAACACCGAAGCCTGGCAAGGAGACACATWACTTTCCCTTGTAGATCTTTTACATTTTTCTGTGTCTATCACCCAATCTTACAGCAACCAACAATCAACTACAAATGGGAAAGCAAGGGCCTGTGTCACCTGTGAACCCTCTATTGCYTGTACCACAAAACCATCTTGTATAATTTATGCTAGGTGTAACATTCCCATTCTTCCCCTATGCATGTAATGATCATTCTTTCTTTCATATCTTCCTCTCGGCTCTTTCTGGTGTTTCTCTTGATCTTTCTTTTAAATAGAACCAGAATTCAAAGAGTCCATTGTTCAGCCTAAGAACTTTGCTCTCAGAATAAGAAAAATATACCRAGAAGCAAGGCATTGCCCACTTAGTACAGTTTGAAAACATAATTATTTGAAAGGATTTTTAAACATAAAAATAAAGCAATCCTTTATTGGCAGTGGTATATCTTCCAGGAATTCAAGCTAACCTTATCTCACATTTTGTGAGATCCTTTCGGACCATTTCCYAATTTCCACAAGGCTATCTAGACCTGGGTTGTGTCTATTCTTGCCTTCTTCACAGTGTTGAAACTGCTTCCATTCATCACCTTTTAACACCTGGTTTCCATTCCAGAGTTTCAAATTACTTTGACTTTGAACCAGTGCAGAAGGAATCCCATCATTGGTTAAGACAAATGTCTTCCCTATTCTTTTCGGGATGGTGCCTGAAAAATTATCTCAACCAATCAAATAACTGACTTGTCTTCCACACCACAGAATGCAATCTCAGAACAAAAAGGTCCTCACTTCTGTTTATTTTTCTTTTGCCTCTACTGTTATTGTACCATCCAAAAGTGTTTCCACTTAGCAGAGGAAAAAAAAGTACCCATAAAAATATCCTTCTTTGGAAATCCCGTGCTTCCTTCATACAACCAATTTATAAGAATATTGAGTTTGCGGTCAGAAAGATCTGTCTTCAGATTTCATCCAGGACCTATTTTTTTATCTTGCAGCAGCTCAGCATATTTTTTTCTCTGTCATATAAAGAGTTGTTATAAATAGCTCCCATTGTGAGTGCTGGTGTTGGCACATTTCAGGAAGTAACAGAGGTACCACAGCGTTGACCACAGCGAGTCCTGTGRTTGGTAATGGCAGTGCTTGAAAACATGAATCACCAGCAGTGAAAGCAGGTCAGAAAAAGGAAACACACACACACAGACACACACAACCCTACTCAATCCAAAACAAAGCCAAAAGGAACTCAATCCACTAGAAAGACCATCCAAGGAAAGACAGGAGTGCAACTGGGAATGTAGGCRTTGTAACATACTCTGAATACATTGCTCACACTATGGACTTGCCCTCGTGAGTTGTGATCTGAAAATACTTTATTGGATAATGTGATACTCAAGATTTTTCAATGAAAATTTATGGGTTTGTTCATTTTTCTCACTGCTTCAAAYGATGGTTGTACACCTTCCTGTAAAACAGGTTTTCACACACCAGAAGTCCTTACAAATCCTTGTAGGGTTCTGCATTTCACACTTTCTTTACTTTTRCCCCATTTGGAATAAATGATTGCCAGGGTAAGGATTATCTTTATTTGTGCTTTCCTACCATCTCCTCTTTTGGATGTCCAAAAAYCTATGGGGACCTTCATGTGAATGCCTTCATACAAATCACGTCCATCACCCCTCACTGAGAGCAAAGGTAAGGAACACACCACCATAATGCACAGGACAGAACACAACAGAACAGAACAGTGCTTTGAGACAGGAATGATTCCCTTGAACTGCCTCCCACCCTACGAGAAGGAAAAGAGGGTGAGACTTAGTCTCCTCTTCTRGCTAAAGAGAGATACTCAAGCCAGCTGCTACACCACCAAGTATTGCATAGGAAGATAGAGGGAGACTTTGCCAATGGACTGGCTGGCTCACTGCATTTTGAGGGCGTTATGAATTGTTACAAAGCTTTTCCCCTCAGAATGACTCCAGGTGAACAGCACACAGYGCTGGCGGCAGCCTTGGACCCTCCTGTTTCAGTATTGTATTTCAATACAAGATAGGCCTGGAATTGAAAGAACAAACACAGTGGCCTTTGAGGAAGTCATTACTTTCATTTTAACTTCTCAGGTGTCAAGGCTCAAACAACTGGAGGCCAATCCACAACAATTCTCTCAATCAGCCAGCCAGCTGGGAAATACCACTGTTTTTCAGAAGGAAAGGGCTTTTACTACAGTGGCCCTCTTGCTACTTCCTTCATTTTCACATTTTCTACGAAGAATAAGTTATAGACTATATGAACTAGTTTATTTTCCCTAAGCCTCAGCATAATGATCCARCTCATAATTGTCAATCATCTTTTGTCTCAATAGCAGAGAGCCACTCCAACCCTTGCCTTTATTTGGGAAATGGTAGATAGGAAGAGACRGAAATCAAAACAAACACTACAGCCCAATGTTTAAAGCTGTTAGGTTTTCTTAGGAACACCCAATGTAAGAATACCCAGAGTACCTTAACTTTCACAAGGATCAAGTGTGTTCTGAGAGGGGAAAATATGTTCACATTTTAGAACACTGTGCATGTCTGTGAGATAAACAAATCAGAACTACCTACAAATGAACAACAGAGTTYTCCTCTTGGTGGACTATACCACTGCTTCCCTAAACATTAAGAGTCATAGTGTGCTCACTATCAGCCAGGCACCARTCCTGTTACTGTACATTCACAGTAGAAAAGCCTCGTTCCAGTGCGTGTTACTCATAAATGTGCTCCATCAGACTGACTCTCTGCCCTTCTGTGTTCTAAGGTGAATTAGGAAAGGGTCTGTTAWAGGATGATACAGGCCATTCTTTTGTAATGGTCTGCAGTTTTCTTTCCCAATACATTTTCTTTTTATTTARCACTTCCATTTTTATCCTGTGCTCTTCTTCAGCCATCTCACACTCTCTTTCTATTTGCTGTATCTTTGCCACATGAACTTCATTCATTTGGATTAACTGCAGTTGCAAAATTGACATTTGCTGATGATGTTCTTCCTCATGCATCTTTTTCAGAGCACTTTCCTGAGATGCTTTACTTCTGTAGTTCTTATCTGCTGCTATTCTGACATCAGAACACGAAGGCTCRGGTTGGGAGGTACCTTCACATACAGGAAAATGTACCAGCTCTTTGTCTTCATCACAGAGTTCTCTGTTTGAAACAACAAATGACTCTGCAAAACAGAAGAAGSAAAAATATTTTAGTATTCTCTTACCCTCCTTCAAGAAACAGAAATGTGATAATAGAAGTTACTGATACATTCAGATAAACCTTGTGCATTGATAGAAAAGCACAGGAGCTGCTACATAATGCAGTTCTGCTTCACAATACCAAGGGCACAACGGGCTGAACAGAACCACTTGGGGCTCTGTTGGAAGACCTCCATGGCTGTAGTGGGAGTTCTGAAGACTAAAGTGAACGTAGACACTTGCAAGTGGACACCTAAATTCAGGTGGCTGAGCCTGGAGCTAAACCTTAAAGCAGCCATTTAAGCTAAATCCGTAGGTGACTTGCAATATTTTYATGAAAGATCTGAGTGTCAGGTGAAGCTATATCAACATGAGTATCAAAAGACTGAGGGACTACTAGGAAGAACACTTATTCTTTCCTTATTTCTGCTGTAGATGCTGTAAACTCAGTAGCGTATATTTGTAGGAAAAAATTACGTTATTCTTACTTTGAAAAGGCTCTACCAATTTGTCTGCAATAAAAGAGACTRCTCAGGGAACAGAATAGTTACTACTGCAAATGAAGGTCTCAAAATACATTCCTATCCAAATCCCAATGACTAATTATGGTAAATACAATTATGAAAGAGACATTCTAAGAATGTTATCTAACAATGTAGTTACTGTTGTCTTTTGAGCAAGGACAGTCTTCTGTGTGAGATCCTGACATCATACAATTTGCAAGAAACTGTTGTAGCCACCCTCCCTTCTGGTATTGAATTGTAGCCTATGCTTGCCAAACAAAGAAGAATGTAGTGCTGAACTTTTTCAGAAAGGCCATTCTCCAATGTGGACTGCAATGTCAAATATGGCTCTATGTACTCTTTTTAGTCCTTGAAAACAAAGGAGGAAAGACCTGCAGGGAACTCTTGCAACAGGCAATTGTGTATCAATTTGCTGCTGGTGGCTTATATATCTATTTATTTTATAACCAGTAAAATGATACTTTAAAAAGGATAAAGATATCCTTGGGACTGTTCTCTGGAAAGTCAGCATGATAGCTACTGTGAYGCTTGCCACAAAGCAGCAGATAAGTCACAGACTGATGAAAAAACTTGTGAAAACCCTCAGTTTAACTCCTGGAGGCCTAGGGAAATACATAGAGTCTTGTAATATCATAGCTCTGAAATTACTTTTTTATATCCAGCCRTCACAGCTGAGTGGAGGGATTTGAACTGCTGAAAAACAATCACTGGAAAATCACATACAAAGCAACACTACTTGCATCATTACAGCAACATTTATACCTTGACTAGAAGCATCAGGCTGATATTCAGAGTCTTCTTCTGGTGGGCTCTGCAAAAAGTACATTTGCTCAGGCATTATGCTGGCAATCTTCTCTTTCCCTACGATGTGAGTGTTTATAAGTGGACTAATACTTCTTTTTACCTTCTCCCGCCTTTCATGTGCCATTATCTTTTTTGTCCGTGCCTTGATGTTTTCCCAGCATTTCTTTAACTGTTTGAAGTCTCGCAGTGACACACTGGGCTGTGAATTATATTCATGAGCTAGTGCTTGCCAGGTGCGTTGTTTCAGGGCAATAGTTCTCGCATCGCTTTTTTTACATTCAAGCACGTATTTGTATTTTTCAACTAATGCAAGCAGCACACTCTTCTCCACTTCTGAGAAGTATTTAGCAGGCTTTATTATTTCGTTTTGCATTTTCTACTGTTTCTCCAAGAAGCCAAAATTCCTATGAAAACAACGATAAAAGAAAAAAGAAAAAAAAAAAAAAAAACAAACACAAATTAGAACTGGTTGCAGTATCAGGAAACAAATTTAAAAAAAAAAAAAAAAAAAACCAAAAAAAAAAAACCAAAAAACTCCTAAGCATAGCTTCTGACTGATTTTATTTTCTAGGAAAACTTGTGAGTAGTTCTAGAGTGCATAATGGAACAAGCAGGTAAGATAACATAATTACAGTGTGGTTTGTGTTGCCACTTTAGTGGATACACAGTTCCAGAAGCAGACTATAATGAACAGGTGTCTTTGCCACAATTTGTCTTGATACAAAATGCTCAGTATTTACTTAGTATCTCACTCTCAATATCTTGTTTTCCTGTTCATTGCACCTTTTCACTCCCTGAAAATTTTCCAAGCCCTGAATTGAGGAATGAATTCCAAAATTCAGCCCTCACCAGCTTCAGGCTTAAGTCTAAAGCCACCTTCAGCATGTTTGAGTTTCCTTTGGTATACAAAATATCCTCTTCTGTCCTTGCATAACTAATTTCTTCCCTATCTCTTCAATATTTGAAAGCTGTATGAGAAATGACAATATGAAGTTGTCTTTTTAAAGACCTGTCAGCTTGGTTCTCCCCATGCTCCATCCCCCACCAGCTGATATCCAACGGGCAGCAAGATCCTGACCTGTATTACAACACTGAGAAGGGTTGCAAAGAGACAAGAAATAACAATAGAAACCACCCACGAGGAAGATACAGATCCTTTGGTCTCAGCTGCTGGCCCTGTGTGAGTGGCACTTGCTCGCTCTTGTGCTGCTGGTCACTCTCAGGAGCCAAAAACCAGGCTAAAAAGGGTTTTGGCTTTACTCAGTACAGCCACTGCTGTACACTTCCACACATCAGCAACCACCTCTCTTCTCAAGCCTAGGACTTACATGGGCAATAGGGAAAGAGTAGTTGATACCAGGGAATTCTTGGCCATTGGAAGGAAAAAAAAAAAAAGGAATAAAGCAGTGTTGCCTTGAATTAACAATACATGACTGTGCAACAAAATGTATTTTTGTTTCTTTTACCTTTTCACACTTTTCTCCCCATTCCTTCCCACTGCAGCTGGGTTGCCCAAAATAATTTTAGACTTTGGGCAGAAATGCTGCCTTAGCTCTCATTTCTTCTGTTTTCAATCATAAAACCCAGCAATACATGTATAAGATAATTGGTTCATATTCCTAACAGTCTAGGACTCTCCCAAAATGAATTTTCTCGTATTTCTGCTTCTTCTCTCATAACATTCCTTGACGATGCACTAGATATCACYATCACATTTCCTCTTTTCAATATATTTTTCCTTAACTCCACTGCACTAGGACTTTCTTTGCACCATCCTTTCCTTTCCTCCAAATATCTTAATATTTACAGTTATTCTCATCTGTCTGTAAAGGTAACTGCTTATATTTACAAAGAAAGCTAACAGACAAACTAATATCAAAACGATAACCCAAGTTTAAAAAACAGAAGCTCTCTCAAGTAGCCCATAAAACAAAGCTCWGCTGTCCTGGTTTCAGCTGGGACAGAGTTCATTTTCTTCTAGGAGGCTGGTACAGTGCTGTGTTTTGGATTTAGAGAGAATAATGCTGATAACACACTCATGTTTGAGATGTTGCTCAGTGGTGCTKATTCCAAATTAAGGATTTCYAGTTTCCYRTGCTCTGCCAGAGAGCAGGTGCACAAGAAGCTGTAAAGAAGCACAGCCAARACAGCTGRTCCGAACTGGCTAAAGGGATATTCCATACCATAAAAYGTCATGTTCAGTGTATAAATGAGGAGGGAATTGGCCAAGACATTCTGATGGTAAGCAATCGTATTGTGCATCACTTGTTTCTCTTTTCTTTCTCTCTCTCTCTCTCTCTGTTTTTCACTACAATTATTATTATTGTTGTTATTATTATATTTCATGTTGTTTCATTTATTAAACTGTTCTCATCTCAACTCACAAGTTTTACTTTTTTTTCTGGTTCTCCTCCCCACCCCACTAGGGGCAAGGAGTGAGTGAGCAGCTGYGTGGTACTTGATTGCTGGCTGSGGTTAAATCATGACACTAGCAAAACGAAGAAGAGGACAGAGGACACAGTGGAACAATGCCTGGAACAGCAAAACTGAAGCAAAGTAAATAGAAATAAGTAATAGCCTAAGTCTAGGTCCAGTCAGTAGCTAAGYTGTACCCCTACTGAAAAAGACAGCAAACATTTGATTTGTACTTTCTGTCAGTGTTTGACTATGTGGCTCCTGGATAGCCACTGCTCTGCTTTTTCACCAAATCCTGATGTCACAAGAACATGGGAGAGCTGAAGTTTTTGCAGCAGCCAGGATTTAGGGGACTAAGGGAAAGATCCATAGGAAAAGAGAATATAATAAGGCTACTGCTCATAGAAGACCWAGTTTATTTTACATGAAAGCAAAAGGAGGAAGAAGGAAGAGAGCTGGGTGGCTGAGCGTAAGGAAAACAGCTTCTTGATCTAATATTTCCTCTGTCCCACCATATCAAGCTATTTTTTATGGTCTGGGAAACCTTAAGTCACCCCATATGTTGGTGATGGGAATTCTTAAACATCTATAATTCCACAAAACAAACTAGGTGTAAGTAAAGAAACTTCCTTAATTGCATACCAGTCATTACAATGTCTAGGTCTAATAGAAGTGAACAGGCACTTCAGGAGATCCTTAAATAAAACACAAATCAGGGGAAAAAATGGTAGCCAGGAAACTGACATCCTAGCAAAGATACTGAAAACCAGCAAGCTTGSTCCATGAAACCACTCAGAAAACATGTAAAAAAAGAGACCTGTAATGGAATAGAACTCTATCTACACACCTAATTTATTTACATACTTATTGAACCATTCCAAACCATTAATTGGCTTTGGACAGCTACTGAAATGAAACTCCTAGGACTAAATATTGGTTCTCTATCTTAGCCTCAATTTCATCAAGGAATGGGATAAAATGCAGCCCCAGCAGCAAGCTGCAAGACCCAATAGCTCATGACCCTGAAAAAGCAAGATCACACCATGTGATCAGGACTGAGTCTACCTTCTAKTGATGCATGTAAAGCTTGCTTCTAGTTTTGAAAAGCAGAGAGAATCTCAGACAAAAAAATAATTACATGTTTATGATTAGAAAATCCCTTTATTTAGAAAAACTGGATTTTCAGAAGTTTGGAGATGATGCTCAAAAAGTCAAACAATGTTACTAAGACTTCTGGATTCTAGGTGCTAAACATCTAGCTCCATAGACTGGCAGAGATCAACTGATGTCAGTAAATATCTAAAGCATTTCCAAATATGACTTTTGATATATTAACCAATTATGTACTAGAATAAAAGTTCATCTTTCATGGATAGAGCAAACTTAAGAATCACTTTCATACCACACTATCATTTATTTCTATTATTTTTACTGCAGTGGCATCTGAGATCCCCAGTTTTAAGTTCAAATACTGAACATTTAAGAATGGAAACAGACCCTACTCTGAAAAGAATATATTGGTCTTTCCTTTCACTCATCACATTCCTAGCATTTTTTTCCTAAATATACACACTGTACTTGTGTCCTTTGTGTCAAGAAAGCAGGATTATGATCTAGGATGCATAAAGGAACTCAAGGTCTGATGTGTGCAGTTTAATGCATCTACTGCAAAATAAAAGAGTTTTGGAAGACTCTTCTCAAGCTCTTACATGCTTAGCCTTCTTGCTTCAATGTATTAAAACCCTTTTGCAATTAGGTGAACAAGAAAGCATTCTGAGACATCAGAGAACTTAGAATACTGAGAAGTTGCGTCAAAACACCACCATATATTTATATTCACCTCTTTTTTCTTTATGCATATTAATCACCTTCCTGCAGCCCACTGGCTCCTCTGCAGAATATGAGAAAGGACTCTCACAAGCCCACAGAATTTCCATTTCGAGGCTAAGCAATCCTTCCAGGACATATGYCTGGGATATAATTTAGCAGGTAGGAATCTGTGCTGAAATGAAAGTGGTTTACTGTGCACAGCTCATCCAGTAAACTGGATTGATTTGTGTGGGTGCTAGAGGACAGTTGCAGAGTAAATTCTAGGAAACAAAGACTGGAAAGCTTCTCCCACTCTTACAGGTGCCTGGGCTCCAAGACACATGCAGYAAGAAAGCACTTTATCCTAAATATCTTCTGGCAGGACTCAATTCACAACTGGCCTTAAAACCAATCAGTGTCCTAAGTATTCGTCCTCTCACACAAACCTCTACAGCTTTGAGATAACAGAAATATCTCTCAGCTCCTCATCTTTACTGTGAAATGTCGTGCAGCATTCTCCTTTTAAAGATTATAAGGCATGTGCTGTGATCTGATGGAAGAATGTCTTGAMAAAAAATTACATAAGTTAAGAGATGCACATATGTTCATAAATATGTCACACACATGTATTATTTTGCTTGCACACACTTAAACAGACATCCAAGCTCCAATCAGTTGCAAAGAAGCCCAGTAAAAGAAAAAGAAAATCACTTCAAGTTGGCATGTGTAAGCGTTTTCAGTCCATGAAATATTTTTTTAGGCATGARAAAATGCAGAGAGAAAGTTATGGTGGAAGATTTATCCCAAACGTTAAGGAGGTTATACTAACCAACCCTAAAGAAAAGAGTTTGCTAGCAAACTGCGGTTGCTTATTACCAGCGCCAACAGAATTACAACCAGAAATATTCAAGGGCTGATAAAAAGAAAATGTATGTCTCTAACTTAAATTGCARGTGAAGCTTTAAGCATATCAGTAATTAATCGCATTTGAAATCAACCATAATTCTGTCCTTTTCATCCAATATTTGAGGGTGAAAGAAAGGCATGGAAATGCAATGACTCAAACTAGTCACAACAGGTTTATCTTTCATTTGAATGACAGAACCAGCAGTTAACGGTGTTCTTCTTCCTCAAATGTTAGGTTTTCCTCACCGAGCTTCCATCAGTGTTCCAGGCCTGACCCTGTCTACCTTGAGACTTGAAATCACTAGATGATTAGGTGCACATTCCAAATATGAATGAGAGCTATACAGAAAATGTGTTTTAATGAGATTTTAAAAAAATCCCACCTCCTTGGGTGCTTTCCCCTCATGCTTTAATACAACTGAACAGTTACCGTGGATCATCCAGCAAACAAACAAGATAACCAATTAGTAAAATTCACWGTACTTTACCCACATTCCTCCTGTCGGATTTTATACAGCTATACACGGAAATGTATTAAAATATGTATATATCTACATCATATTGCACTACAGATACACACAGACAGATTTTAAGCCGGGTCATCCCGCTACCTATGGAGGACATCCAAAGCAGTTCCCGCAAGCAAGGTAATGGACGCAGGTTGTTTTYCCGAACGACTGCCTGAAATCCATCAAAAATAGGCATAATACAGGAATCCTACCAGACTTTCCCGCACCCGAACTTCTCAAACATTAACTCGAGCTTGTTTKGTTTTTTTTTTWAATCTCCTCGCTAGCTCCTCTTCTGCTTGAAGGAGGAAGAAGAGCAGGTCCCGGCTCCACAAAGGCGGCCGCTCCCCCCCGGGCGGGCGCGGAGGCTGCGGCGCGGATCAGGGCGCATCAGCCGCGGCGGCGGGGGAGGCTCGGCGGGCGGGCGGCCGCTGTCACCCAGCGCCCGCGGGGACCGGCGCCTGCGGCGGGGACAACCCCACCCTGCGGCCCCGCTGGTTCCCTGCTCGTAACAAAGCGCCTCTCGGCTCCCTCCCTCCCTCGCTCCCCGCCTCCCTCACCTCCCCGCCCGCRGGTCGCCGGCACCGCTCCCTCCAGCTCCCCGCAAACCCCGCGCTGGATTCCCGCCCGCCGCAGCCCGGGCGGCGCGGAGCCGGCCTCTCCCGCGGGGGACACCGCCGTGCCGCGGGGACACCGGAGCCGTGCCGGGCGATCCCGAGTCTGCAGGTACGCGGTGCTGCGGGAGACGGCGGGTGGAAATGCGTCTGTGTGTGTGAGTGTGTGTCTGTRTGTGGTGTGGGGAGCGGCATGMGAACACCCAGCGGCCGCCAAGAACAGGGGGCGGTGGGCAATCCCGCCTGCACCGGCGCGGGCGGAGCTCCCGGGACGCACGTCTCTAGCGCGGCRTTCCCATCCCGCATCCCGATCCCGCCGCCCGGAGCGGAGCGGGATGGGGCATCCCCACCCCGGTGCRGCGGCCGCGGACCCAGCTCGGGCTTTACCTCCGACAGCGCCCGGCGGCCCGACGCGCCTGCGCGCCAGCGCCCCCAGCGGCCGCCGCGGGAAGGGGCCGGGGTGTCGCGGCCGCCCGTGCCCGTCCCCGTCCCCGTTCCCATTCCCGTTCCCGGCCACCGGCACGGCCGGGCTCTCTCCAACGCCCCGCGCCTCTTCTGCCCCCGGCGTGACGCCGTTCCCTCCCACAAGCGGGTCGGTGCCGGCGCTGGTGCGGCAGCGAGAGAGCCCTCGGCTCCTCCTGGCGCTGGAGCCTGCCGCSCCCGGCCCGCCGCGGTGAGGTGGGTGCGGCGGCGGCCCGGCACTTTGGCCCGGCTCCGTGCGGGAGCATTGTCTGTGTCCTCCCGGCGGGGCTCCAAGTGCCGGGAAAGGCGCTCTCCCGCTCTCGGCGTGGGGTTCGGAGCTTCGGGGCCTCTCTTCTTCACTACCTTCCCTCCCTTCCTTCCTCCCTCCCTCCTTCCTTGGCCGCCGCGGTCCGGGTGGGTGCGTGTCCCTGTTCCCAAGCCCCGCCGTATGTCCCGTGTTCCTCGGGCATTGAGTGCTGGCTGTTCCCAAAGAGTGTGTCATCTGTCCCAGCCCATGCGAGCCCTCCTATCCCAGGAAAGAAGGGGGAAGCTTGAAATGCTTCGGATTAGTTTTTTTTTTTTTTTTTTTTACGGGTCTGCGTAATCTTCTGGTGACGTTCATGTTTCCCGAGGGAAACTCGGAGAACAATTGTTTCTTTCCATGCTGTACTTTCGCTCTTGAGTTGAAAATAGGATCTTTAGCCTGGGGGTTTAAAGGTTGAATATAACTCAAGGCAAGGCACAGATTAAAGCTGGAATATGCCTGACCCTTACAGAGGCAGAACAAGAATGTAAATAATTTTGCGAAGCTAAAAAAGCAGTTTGCAATCTTTCTGCAATTTTCCTAGAGGTTTTTTTATCATCTAAAGACTGAATATGGACCCTGAAACCGAAATAAAGAAGCAAGTAAACCCCTTTTACTGCAATGTAAGTATTACTTACTGAAAATTGTAACKAATACGTAGTTATTTAGGTGGAACAAAGTTGTACTAAACCAAGTAAGAACGTTCTTTTTTTTTCTCTTGAGCAAGATTGATAAATAGCACTRGAGCTGAACTTATTTTGCTGTCTCTGTCATGTTTGACTTGAATGTGCATTGAGAATTGACTTACTAAAATGAATAATTTAAATAAAACTGTGTTTCTAAATAAAGACATTCTTTTAAAAGTGAAACATTAAATGCAGTTCCTGTTCAGAAAAAAAAAATAACCAAATTTCTGTGGTTGTCAGGCTAATTGCTGGTTTTTTTAAGGCATATTGAGATTTTTAGAGGAGAAGAAAATATTCAGGCTGATCTGTCTTTACTTATCCGCACGCTCTCACACAAAAAGGTGTTGTGAGATAGCTGCAGAGTACTGGAGACATCTGAATTTCTTACCTTATGTGGACATTCTGGTTCATTCCACTCTGTTTTAGTGGTCTTGGAACCTTATAAAATTCAGTTTTAGGAGGCTGCTCTAGTTTGTCTTTGAAGTAGTAGTAATTTTGTAGAACTTAACTAAACTGACAGTTCGGTAGTAGATCTGTTTGGTATCAGTGGTATTTTATTTCTCTTGGTCTGTGTGCGACRCTAGAAATACTTCTCTTTAATCTAGATATGCAAAATCTGGTGTTCTTCTGCATTAAACTTGCAGACTCACTTCATTGGAGGGAAACACAAGATGGTAAGATCAGTTTTTGAATGCACCTTTTGTCAGATTTTGCCAATTTATTTARCAATAGAATATGGGGYTTGAAATCTAGTTTTTAATGTGATRTTTGAAACATACAATTTCAGATGTTTAACTAGTTTTGCTAATTTACTGTCTTGTTTACCCTGATACAGTAGAACTTGATTTTGTAAATTAGTCCTGTCAGAATATATTAAAAATTTGTGTCTAGTAAGGACAAGACAGGAGAGTTCATGGCTGTTAATAAAGGCAGAATGGAATTACTTAAATCATAGAGAATCCTCAGGGAAAAAAGAGATGTTTTTCTCTTTTAATTTTCATGTAATTATTGTTCACCTGAGATAGTCTATGGTGTTGGCATTAATCTAATTTATTTTATATATAATGAAAGCTTTGCAYTGTTGTTTTTTGACTGTTAAGTGTCTTTCTTCCTTGTTGGTTGATGACTTGGTAACAGGTTGAAGAAGCATTGAAAGCTCACGGCATTGGTAAACGCAAGGCTGAAGAAGCATTGAAAACTCACAGCATCGGTAAGTGTAAGATTCTTTGCTTCCTATTGTGTTCTATACATTTATCTCCCCACCACAGTGTAGCTGTTCATGAAACAAAGGAGAAAAACACTTCCTCAAGATTTGTGTTTTCAGACTTGTTTTGTGTTCTTTAATGATAGAACTGCCTAATCAATCAGTAGTGTGAGCAAGAGGTGTGCAATGTTGATTAACAAGTGCTAGCTGGAATACTAAAAATCACCTACATTAAAATTTTGAGAAACCCTAAAGAATTCAAGATTTAAAATATACTTTAAAAAAAGCTATGCTTCTTAAAACATGTAGAAATACTGTATATACTCATTACTTGTTTTTGAAAAGGGGTTAATTTTCTTCAGCTAATTAAAATATTTTTAACACTTTTAATAGGTTTAATAAATATTTAAACCTGCCCTGGGTCTTGATGAACTGGTCTCGTTCCAAAAGGAGTGAAGATCTAATTGTGTTCACATTTAKTTTCCTACTTTGGTTTCATGATGCACCAAAATGTACTTACAGGTTTCTACAGTGTGCTGCTCCTAGAATTTAGTTTGAAAGTTGCTSTTCAAGTTAGACATAGTCATTGCACCTACCTTATCTGGGAATTTTTGTTTGTAGTGTAAAGGAAATTTAGGTGATGAAATATTCAGCAGCTGTATGCTGCTGAAATAAATGTCCTGAAATTACTGGATGCCCTGAAATGTTCAGAATCATTGAACTTGATTGATCTTCTTGTCTTCCTGCTTCATTGAATTGGTTGACATAAAATAACTTGGTTGTTGTTTGGTGCAAATGCTTTTTGTCCATCTTTTGGAGCATGGTGCTAATGACACCAGGGTCATGGGTGCAGTCCTTTTATGGTACTCAGTGATCCTTGTGGGTCCCTTCCAACTCAGAATCGTTTGTGAATCTGTGAAAAAAAAATCGCTTAGCACGTTCAAAACTAAACAAAGCTTAGTTTTCTTATGCAAAGTAAAATTAACAATTTTATTTCCACTTCTGTGGGATTTTTTTTTTGTTTTCTTTTGTTTTCTTATTTGTTGTTTTTCTTTCCCCGTTGAAACAGAAAGATGTTTAGGGAAGAAAGTGAAAATACCTGGAAGACTTCCTGATTTTGGTAAGAATATTTAATGCMTTCCCCCACACCTCCCCCCCTCCCAAAAAAAGTGGAAGAAATAAAAAAAATTTTGAGGTACAATATTACAAGTGATGTCCAGATCTTAGCAGGTCATTGGGAATTAATTTCTGTTTATTGTACTTTCAATCTGCGGTAATATTTTGTAATAACACAATTTTTGCAAAGCAAATGCTTTAAAAAGAGAGAAAATAGGATTGGGGGAATAATGCTTTGTCATAACTGACTTAATTTGTGATGTGGGACCATGGATGAGCAGGRATTCATTTGTATGTGAATTTCTTACAGTGCCACTTGAGACAGAGARCATTCATGGACAGACATTGGAAGAACAGCTTAATACGTGTAAAGATTCAGAACCTGCACTTGGTGAGGGCTTTTAAACTGTAATTGTTTGTTTCTGTGATGTTTACCTTTATAGAGTATGGRTTAGTTTTTTAAAATGTAAAATGAGGTAATTAGGTAATGTGTAMTAAAATCTTCTTATGGTTACACTGAGTAGCCAGTAGTTTGGTACGGAAGTGACAGATCTTAATGACAAAATAATTGGATTTGGYCTGGAATGTGTTTGGTTAGATATCTCATGTTGACTGTATTCTCTAGAAACAATCAGAAGTAATATGATAGAAATTAAATTGTCAGTACAGCTTTTTGCAGTACTCATAGGATAGACAGAAGTACTACTCATAGGATAGAGGRAAAAAGCAACTAGGGACATGTATTAGAATACATTCACTTCTAAATAGTTAAAACATAATAGTTGCTAGTAATTTTTTAAGGAATCRTTGAATCCTATATGGTAAACATAAGGCATCCTAAAAAAGTCAGCTTTGAACACCTTTGGTGATGTTTGGTGATGTGTTCAAAAAGTCTAGACACCCAAAAGATAAAATATCTGATGGTTCTAAAAGTCTTCACTGATGTATTTGATATTTGACCTTATATGTCAGTGCTTTTGCAACCAGCTCTGATAATTTGTTCCAGCAAACATCAAATTTCCTAACTTGTTTGGGTTTTTTTTCAATACAGGACTTAATTATATAATAGAATACCGATCAGAAGCCAATGTTCCTTTTCTCTATGAATGTCAACTATGCTGCTGTAAAGCAGGACTGAGTAACATGTTCATGCATGTTTGTGGTTCCAAGCACAGACTGGCATACTTGGTAAGTTTGTTTGTTTGTTTAAATGTAATGATTTAAGGAGAGAATTTGCTAGTCAAGCTTTGATTTTTTTAAAAAGTAGCATTAAGGATTTTTGCATAAGCTTTTGTGAAAATCTTTGTATTACAATTGTGCAACTGTGATGAATAGACTTAAAATTCTTATCAGTAATGTGTACGTTTGTCCATTGCTTGACACAGTTTTTAGTTCATTTTATTTTGGTCAACCAGTAATGAATTCGATTCATTACTAGAATTTGATTTTTGATTTTTGTATTATGTAAAAGAATGGGATCAATGAAGAAACTATCCCATCTTTCAGGTGCTTTAAAAGGAACATAATTATAAATGAACATGTTACATATTAGATAATAAACTGGGAGTTGGAATCAGGGGGGAAAAAACAACTCATATTCTGTTTTGAGTCTRGACAAGCCATGTGAGTTCTGTTGCCTGTTTTATGACAATTGGCAAAGCTTTWGAGGTTCATGTCAGCTCACAAACATTCAAACACATTATTTTCAATATGTTCAGAGAAATAAGGCTGTCCAGTCTTTGAATGTTTAGTTGAGTATATTKGCCTTAGGATGGGCTTCAACAAAACTGAATAAGCAATATTTTGAAAAATATTTTGATACTTCCCATAAAGGTTTCTCAAAATTGTATTCCACATACCTTAAAGTATGTGGAACTGAGTTCACATAGTATTTTGGKCCAGTTTTAGGCCTAATGTTGGGTGTGCTGCTATGAATTTGCAGTGATGTCTTCTATAAAGACCATGCTGTTTCTGGCCATTAATTCAGATRTACATGCTGAGTTTTGATGTTCTCAGCTACTGTATTTCTTGCTTACTTGGAACTGTTTCCTCCAGTTCTGCATCTTACTCTTTTTAGCTGCATCTGTGATAAATTCTTAAATACTATAAAAATATAATAATTCATGAAGGATAACTTTTAAGTCATGCATCTGAGATCGATTAACCCTAGGCAGCAGAAAAGGCAGGAGACTAAATGACTGGAATCTGCTTTGCTAAAAAAAGAGCCTGGGGGTCCTGGTGGATAACAAGCTCAAGTTAAGTGTACCTTTGTGTCAGTGAAGGCTAACAGCAAGGTGAGCTATACTAAAAAGGGTACAGCCAGTAGATCAAAGGCAGTGATTATTGCCTAGTTCTTGATCCTTGCTAGGCCATGTCCAGAGTATTGTGTTCAGTTTTGTCCTGCAGCAGAAAGGAAGCTATTTATGAAATTGAGCTAGTCCAGTGGAGAGCTGCCGAGATAGTCAGGGGGCTGAAGCGCACCTGTATGAAGAGAAGTTAAGGTAATTGGGTTTGTTCTGACTGGAGAAAAAAAGTATCAGAGGGATCTAATAGTAACCCTCCAGTRCCTCAGAGGAGGTTATTAAGAAGGGGGAACCAAATCCTTTATAGAACTTATTGGCAGGAACATAAACTGAAGCACAGGGCTTTCCTACTTGACATAAAGAAGTTTTTCACTGTGAGGGCAGTCAAGCATTGGAGCAGCTTGTAGACTCAAAGCTGCAAAGCCCTGTGCAGCCAGTTCAGCATTCAGAGTCAACCCTGTTGTGTGCTGATCATTCAGCTTCAGTTCCCTGAATTATCCTGTGATTCTATGCATAAACATTTTAATAAGTTCTGCAATATATATGTAGAAGTTGATTTATGTCTCTTGATTATTAACTGTGGTGGAGTTGTGTGACTTAAGGACTTGCATTTATTTTCTAGAAACAACATTATCCAGAGATAGCACAGTCTGATGAATTTAAGGGTAAAGGCTCTGAACTGAACAAAAGAGTTAGGCAAGTTGGATTAACAATTGAGAAGAAAGAAGGGAGAAAACAAATACAGGTACATTTATCTTAAGAATTCCAGAAGCTTTATATTCAATAAAGAAACAAAGAATGTAATTTCTGTTACGGTGGGCAGATTTGCTTTGGATGGTAGGGGAAGCTTGCTTTTTTAACTTCTATTACAGGTGCTTTTTGTCATTTTAGTAATTCTTCCAAGATTATTCTTTTAAGTCTTAACAGAAATTTATTTGTGGTAAATAAGTATCCAGGTAACCAACTTACTGACTTTTTTAATGTCATTTAAGGGACTACACACATGTGTTTTACACTACTGGTCGTATATTCATTAAAAAAAGATTAATGCTGATGAAATATCTATGGAGTAATTTTATTCTCAAAATAACTAACATAAAAGGGTTTCATTTTTAGGTTGTTAAAGGTGCTCCAACAATGAGGAGGAAATGGCAAGAATGTAAGTGTCCTCAGAGGGGTGTAAATTGTCCATTTCTAATTTGATCCTCCTTTGATCTGAATCAGACCAGGGTAGTCTCTGCAGTGCCAGATACTCACACGCATTTTGGTGAACTGAACAAAAGGAGGAGGTTGGGGCTCTGTGCATTTATTTAATTTGCRGTACAGAAAATCACTCAGAGTTCTTAAACCACAGCTATAACTCTTATCTCTGGAAGAAAATTTTCTGTTTTACTAGCCATTGATGCTCACAAAATTGTAGGAATGTGTGAGGAAAGTTATCTGTGAGGCTTCCCCACTCAGTTTAATGTTTTAAAACTCATTGTAGTACAATGTTGTCCAGGTGGATAGGCAGTTTGACTGCATGCCACCTGAGGGAAAGGCTAAAACTTGCTATGGGACCCTCATTCCATGAAAAATAAAGATTTGAATTAAAACCAATGTACTTAATTTTAATGTATATTAGTATGTAAATGGTACCTTAAAATAGCTCAGTAGAAGTAATGAGATGATCTAGATTAGCAGTGTCGTACTCCAAAGAGGAAAAATATCCATTTTGGATCTAGAAAAGTAGTTTGAAATAAGTTGAGTCCTGTGCAGATTAGATTTCTTGACTGTAACCTGTTGGGTACTGTGTCTAATTTTGCATGTGACTTTGTGGCATTTTACTACATTTATAGTATTTACGTATTTTAAGAAATGCAAGTATGTAATTATAACCAGGGTAAAAATACGTTAAACTTCATTTCTGATTTGTGTTCATATTTAATATGCTTTCACATAATAATGCTTAGAAGATTATTCTTAGTGTTTATAAGTACTATTGCACAGAAACAGAGCTAGGTGAGATTGAAGTGCAGTAGTTAAAACTGTCTTCTATCAGGATAATGTCCATTGTGCTACATTTCAAGCATGTTTGTTTAGTTCTTCATTCAGATGACAACCCTTCAAAAGCTAAAGTTCAGCATGTGGATACAGCCCTTAGTAACACAGAAAAAACAGATAATAAAAATAAAGATGGGAAACTGACAGACCCTACTCAAGGTTAGAGGAAAATTGCTTTTATTGGTTTTTTTTTAAACTTTCACCAGTGCATGAATTATTTACTATGTATGTGCCTGTTCATAGCTTCCACAGCTGAGTTATAGAGGTGAATRTGCAGTTCTGTGGATGGCCTTGAGGTCTGTGACAAAGGAAAGAGTAATCCCAGTGTTTGTGAAGAGAACATTCTACTTATACCGATTTTTTTAGGTGCAATTTTTATTTTATTTCTTCGTGAGATACCTTACTGCTACCTTTAGGTTTGATTGATGTCTTTAGAAGTTTTTTTTGTTTAGAATAAATTTGAAATTGAAACATTGGAAAAACATTACTTAATATACTTTTTTATTGTTTTAGATGAAAATAATGTTCAAGAAGAAAATGAAAAGAGTCAGAAAGAACAGGCAAAACTAGACAAAAGGATTGAACCTAATAATGCTATTGAAAGCAGCAAAGGCAACAACTCAGAAAGGTAAACAAAACCCCCCCACCTTCAAACCCACTTAACATAATGAAAATGTTGCACATGACAATTGTCTATATTACATTTGCATAGTAAAATCCATGTCTTCTGAAACTGTGCTCAGCTGTAAACTTATGTCATCAGCAGAAAACCTGGTATATGTAAAGTGACGTGAGACTTTGCTCTGGATACAACTGGCTTTTGTATTTAATTGTTAYCTTTAAAGTGTAATTGTCATGTGCTGCTCAAAATGTTCAAAAAGAATGTTTCCTCATGGTTTAAAAGTGCCTCTGTTACAAGTTATATCACGTAATTAGGGTGGTATATGAACTGATTTTGGAAGGGTAAGACAATCAGTAATAGCTGTAACAATTGGGTTTACTTTACAAATGATTCCGTGGTGGAATAAGTGATCTGAAGGAACAGTTGTGTTCTACAACAGTGAGACTGCACTTGCTGCTTGTGAGCATCTTATTGGTAACAGAATTGTGAGTTCAGTTTGAACTGTCAGCCTTTTTGTGAGGGGGGCATCCCCAACATTGATCATCTTTGTGCAGCACCAGGAACCACAGAAGGGCACTCGGTAAGGGATAGACATGGATCAACCCCAACACAGGACTTCGTTCCAACAGTTTAGTTACTTGGTTTTGCTCTTAATGACATTCACTTGAACTGTGTTTTAACTTTAGACCAGTTATCTCTCTCCCATACATGGAAGGCTAACACCTTTTGCTTGTTTATTTTTAAAACAGAAATTTTCATGTTCCTGAAATACATTTTTGTAGGACTTACCTCTCTGTGTGGTAACCATTATGGGAAATGATCAGTTGAAACCAAATTTAAGTCCAGGTTTATGAATCTTTGTGGTTTTTTACTGGCTTTCAAATAACTAACAGTTCTAAATCGGAACTAGTTTGTGAAAACATGAAGAATAGGAAATGAATAAAATCTCATCTATCCATCCACATCTGGAAATGCTATTGTCTATTTCTACCTGATACTGATCCTCATTTTGCAGTCTTGTACTTCTAAATTTTAAGAACAATTTCATTTGGAAAATCACTTAATGTTGTTCTTTTAATCTGGTTCAGATAGATCTATCAGAGAGATAAGATAGTTCAGATATCCTTGAGATAGATGATAGATCATGATCCTGAGTGACAAYGAGCAGCCAAGTGTTTCAGCGAGAGACTGATTTGGCAGTTATTTACTAAATTAGGACTTGAGCTTATTTCTTTACTGTTTATTTTTGTCAGACTATACTGAGAGATAAGAACTCAATATATAGTTTCTTAAAAGAATTAAGATCAGATCATTGAGAATTAAGATCATTGACAGCTTATTTCCGCTTAAAGATTCTGTAGTATCTGTCTGAGAATTTCTATTACTCCTTAATTCTTTGTGGTTAAGTTTCTGAACAAACAGTCATCTGAAGGTGTAAATTACTTCATCATCATCTGCTTTTACTAAACTTCTGATTCCTAAGTAAGATTTCAAGGGAGGGGAGGTCTTAGGCTTGGCAGTCATATGGTTTTGGTTAATTTAAGAAACACCAGCCATTTTCAGCCCTGATTCCTGGGCTTGCAAAGGGATGGAATATATCTACAGTAGTTGTAATGCCAGAACAACATAAATATGGGTTAGGAATGTTTAGCCATATGAATCTTTATATGCCCAGTATTTGCATGGCTGCATTGTAAAACGCTGATTTTTATAGCTGAATTTTTTAAAGGCAATTTTGTGAAGCACTGATAAAAATCCTCCTATAATTAGGAGCCTTGTCTCTGCAGTATGTAAAAAAATCTTACAGCTATTACAACTGATGTCAAGCTTTTTTATTAGCACTGGGTTTTAGAACCTACATGCAGATAATCACAATAAAAAAAACCCAAAACTCATAAATAATTTTAATGGTGATCTGGGATGACTGGGATTTCTCTGAGGAAATAATATGTGACCTTTGTTTCAGAATGTGTCAGAACCACTGTAGTAGTAGTAGTGTGTCAGGAATTTAAAGTGATTATCATTTATTGGCTGGCTATACATTTTTGCTGGATCAGCCAACTGAATGTTTTATTTATCTATTTTAAGGTGTGAGATCAATAAACAATCGGAGGAAGAAAACAAGGAACTTGAGGTGAATATTTTTCTTTTGATGGGGTTACTCCACTTCCCAAATAGTTGGGGAAGTAATTAATACATGATTGGCAGAGGTGTTTGCTTACTCAAATTAATATTATTGACAATAAATCAGCTACAAAGTTGTTAAGGCAAAACCATTGTCAACAAGGTTTTTTCCCACTTTGTTATGAAAACCTATGTACACTTTTCATAACAGCACAACAATTTGAATTTTAGAATAACCATAATTATTACTGTTTATTTGTATTTATCGCACAGAATAGGTTTCTAGACCTCTTTCTTTTTGTTTTAAACAGCAAGAATTTACAGCAAATTCTGAAGAATTCACTAGTCAAGAAGAACTGTTGGGTTATTTGGTGAGTGTTAAATCCCAGCTTGCAAGGCAATTTTTGGAAGAAAAAAAGAATCACTGATTTGCTAAGCTGGAAATGTAGCAAGTAATGAAAGCCAAAATGTAGGCAATCTGGTAATCTAACAGATTGTCATTTTGCCAGAAGGCAGGATACAGAATAAAATGAATGTCACTGAATTTATAATGGATCTATTAATTCTGAAGTTTCTAGACATTCTTTTTGCCATAGTATTGGTTTACTGTCAGAGGAATGACTTGCACTGAAATTTTTTTTTTCAACCATGGCTTAGCTTCACTCCTTAACTACATGGTTAGGTAATACAGCCTTTTAAAACTTTTTTTTTCTCCTTTGTTTCCATAACTGGTCCATGATTTTTGAATGAGGAATTTGGAAAGATGTTATTCCATAATGGGAGGAAGCAGAATGAAGACAAATATTTGAGATATGTAGAAAGGAAAGAAGAGATTTTTAAGAAATAAAATGCAAGTTGTGTATTTTAGACAGGGTTCCCCCCTGACCTGGACAAAAAAGCTGGAACTACAAAAACCTGCCTGTTCCCTCTCTAAAGTAAGTGTCAGAACACCAGAACTCTGTTCAGTTGTTGAAAATGTGTATTATGTACACATGCACAGCAGTGATACAATCAGTAAGAGTAACCTGTCACTTGCCAGTTAGATGTATCAATAATAATTGTGGTCTTGCTCACTGAAATAGTGATTTTCGTAAAAGCACTGGTGACAAACTCAACAAAAATGTTTACTGATAATGGCTTGACTGATCTGCATGGTAATTTAGGCACTATTGATGATCATTAAATGCTTTTTTCCTTTTTTTTATAGGGAATTATTAAGTGTGGGGATTGCACCTTGTTAGTAAAACTTGATTTTGTTTTGAGGAATCTTCTTGCTTTTCATTGTCACCTTCAAAGAAAACAGGACTGTTGGGAATGTGATTGGAACAATGCTCTGTTTTGGAAAGTTTGAAAATTATGTGAATTTAGAATCTACAGTAATTTTTTCAAAAGCTGCATTAAATGTTTCTGTTGTTGGATTCAAAGGTTTCTTATGTGGTGGAAAGTAATTTTAGAGGTATCTTTTTTACACTTGCTGTTCATATGCTGTAAAGCTGTCCAATGATTATCCATACTGTATTTCTTTTATTACCTCATAGCAAAGATATCCTTGCCACAATTTAATCTTTTTTTTGCAGCTAGCTTTTGGCAAGATCTTCATTAAATATAACTTGTGCAAACCAGAAGAGATCAATACTATTAGAGTTAAAAATGCAATATAATCCCTGTTACATTGTCTAACACAAACTTAATGCTAGGTTTTTATTACTTCTTTTATATTGTCGGGAGTGTTTAAAGGTGTTTGGTTCTAATCCAGAGGACTTTGAGCTGTTAGGACAGACCGGAGTCCTGTTTACTTTTGTTCTGTTTCAGCAGAACTTTCTTGGTGTAGGCAAGAGGGTGACACATGTAGCTTTCTCTGTGAGTGCTGTTAGTACTAGAACTTGCTACCGTAGTAGAGCTTCAACAGTTTCAAGACTGCTTTTTCCTTAGGCTTTTAGGGAAGAAGAAGGTTAATGTAAAGGCAAGGCAGCATGCAATTGTAAATTCAGTAAAGCATTCTGGCTTTTTGCTACGTTCCAGAGAAATGGGTTACTTATATTACCTCAGAGAAGGTGTACACACATTCATTTGTATGCAGGCGTCTTGGAAAGAGATCAAAATACTTAGGGAAGAGCATTACATTCCTTATATTTCCAGGCATATTTTTGTGTTGTTCCTTTTTCAAATGATTGTGTTGGGTAGCTGCATCTTCCTTCTCTTAGGATTCTCTTTCATTCCACTTTCTTGTCCCCCATTTATGGGTTTAAAAACAAAAACTGTATTTGCTTTGTAATTTCAGCCAAATCTGACAGAAAGATAGAGACAGAGAAAATGAGGTTCCTGCAGGTTTGTTTATAAATTGTGTTACTTAAGTTTTTCAGAGGAAAAATGTTTTATTGTCTGTTGGTTTGGTTTTTTTTTTTTTTTTCCGTAGCGAAGTTTTGAGATACTGAATGAAGATGATGCTTCATTTATCCTGAAAGTTACACAGACTCTCACAAATGCACTGGTGGAATATCGTCAGCAGGCTGCATCAAACAAGGTATTGCAGATTTTTGTTTTGGCTTTGCTCTACAAATCTGTGGATTCCTGTGATTGTGCATTATGACAGATGATCCAATAAAAGAAAATTGCTGGAGATTGTATTGTAAGTTTAGCCTGTTAAATACTTGAATTTTGATAGTGATGGTAGGGTAAAATTTTAGCTTTTTTGTCTTAATAATTGCTGTTTAACAGTGCTTGCTAATAGAAAGTAAAAATCATCTTTTCACTTATTTCCTGTGCTTTTCCTTACATCTAAATTTTTCTGCTACTTTTGCCCCTTTTTAATTCGAACTTAAGCTTTTCTCATCTCTGCTGACTTGCCTAGCATTCCTATTCTGTATCCCGTTTCTGTTCCGAGGCTTTACTTCATTCACCATGTAATCACACATCAGTGACATGAATTTCTTTTCTTATTCACCTTCTGATCTTACTCTTGGGACTGTTCTCCTTGAGGTCTTCTTTCACTATTAGAAAACCACTTTTTCCCTTCTCTGCTATTACTTGTGACTGACTTATCTTTACATAGGTAGTACACATGAAGGTGTTTTGAGTACTTCTTTGAGGCTGCTGACATGTTACAAAACAACGAAGTCCTAACTGAAGTAACTTTTAACCTACAAGTTGTTGAAGATCAGAATGTTTTCCCACATTAGGCCTTGTTAATATTCTAAAGTGTGATCTTTCAACTGGTAATTTTTTTAACTAAATCTTTTGAGTATTAAATGCTTCCTYTTTAGATCTGGCAAGTTGAGAATTAGGCTCAATAAGTATGATTTCATTGCCTAATAATGAACTTTTTCATTGAGAGATACCACAGACACTGTATACACAGAAGATATTAGCTCTATGATTTTCAAAGAAATACTTGATTTTTCAGATTTGGTAGCAGAAATACTGGTCTTTTATTTGGTTTGTGATCATTAAAAATSTAGTAGTTCATTCTTTCAAGAGATTGTCCTGATGAGATTCTGGGTTTTTTTTGGGCTTTTTTTTTGAAACTCATAGGACCACTCAGATGCTGGATATAATGGAGAAGCAGCATTGGAATATTGCACAGAACAGTCTGACCCAACTTCAGCAGATATTAGTGACTCTGACACTGGTAAYGTTCACTTTGCAGTCTTTAATGTGRTTTAATCTTAACACTSAACCTTGCATAAATGATAGTGAGCCTTTTCTTCTTGCTKTTCTRAAAGYAGACCTCAAGTGTCAAGTAGCACARATTAATCCTTTTGGGGTCTTTTCCCCATCCTTTACTAATATTAGAAATTGAAAACTACTAAAAACATTGATCCTATTTAACTGTAGGGTTTGGGGAGAAACTGAGTTAGTACCTATTGTGACTTTCATGACTTCAAAGGGAACTGTTTCTAAGGAGACTTTCAAAGTTTCTTTGGGTTTTTTTCCCCCCAATATTTTTTCCTTCCTTGATGGAGGAAATGTTTCCTGCAGGTGTAGTAGAAAGTTATATGGTAGARGATGGATAATTCTTTTTAATATCTGAATGTTGGAGCTACTTTGGCCTTGGTATTTCTGATTAATTTTTGCAAAGAATCCTGKATTTCTTGGAGGTAATTTCCTTCTGATACAAATAAATGGCTATTTTTCTCAAACACAGGAAGTACAATCCTATGCTTGGAAGGGCAAGATACCCAGAATATTAGTGAAGCTATTTTTATGATCTTTTTTTTCTGTGTGTGTCAATTTTCTACTTTTTCTAGAAAGTTTAGCTTTTGAAAACCTCAGTTATTACAATGCTAATAAAAAAAACAAAACACGTGGTGACTTAGAATACATGAAATTTGAAGCTTTCATTCCATTTTTTAAAGCATAATGGAAATAGCTTTCACCTACCTCCCCACGTTTGYTTCTCCAGGATTTTCTGTATCTGGAAAGCATTCCTGACTCTCAGTTGTTTCAAAATTTAGCCAAGTCAGATGTGAACCTTACCAGCAATGCTGCTGTGCCAGACTGGAAACACTTAYTTTAAAAAGCTCTCTTTARAGAAATATGTAATGAAGGCTCTTCAGAATCCTCTCTTACTGAAAAACAGCATTTCCCTTCTTTAGACTACTCAAGCAGCCGATCAGCTAAGCAATTCKTATCGGTCAATGAAGATGAACCCCAAAACTTTTCAACTGCCTCTTTGGAAACAGCATGTGAGAGCAACATCACAACTGAATTTTTGAACAGTGTAAGAAATATGAATGCTGAGGAAGTKTCTGCCACCCTACACAGAATAGCAGCATCAAATCCAGCTTTCAGAGGTAATTTGCATATSCATGTATACACACACAAACACACATATATAAAAATATACATAATATCATTTATTACCTCTGTGAGTAATTAAGGACTTACATAGGTTGAAGAACTTTAAGGTATTAAGGAGGACCAAAGAGACTTCTTTTTTCCCACCCCTTTAACTTTTGCAGGATCCAGTTTAGGAATGGTAATTCAGAATGTCTGTCTGCCTTCCCATAAAGGCATTAATAATTGCTGATTTTTGGTCTTTTTTTTAATTCTTCTCTCATTTGTGCTGAGTAACATTTACATGGCAAGAAACAGTAAACTAAAACCAAACATGCTGTTATTAGAAAAAAGCAGAATCTTTTCTGTGCTACAAGTGGAGAATTGCTAGTTTTGTGAATACCAACAATGTTTTTTATTTACTGGTCCGTGAAGRAACTGTATTTGCACAGTAACATAAAAATAATAATGAATCAGGGACAAGCAGTCTTTTTTTGCTTACAAGTTTTTAATAAATGTCAGCTATTAAACCTTCCCACATCTTCAGTCAACCACTACCCTTTCTTCAGAAGTTTCCTGTGTCCTTCTAAGCTTCTCAGAGTATGTTTAGAATGATAAAGGTTAAAAAAAGAACATTGAAGATAAGTACATYGTAGGAAAGCTTACTGTTTCCAGGCACATTCTGGTTGTTCTCAGTTAAGGTACCTTTTTTTAATAAGGAAAGATTCAAAACTCATCTCAGCATCTGAATGTTTCAGTATAACTTGTGTTTTTAAATGAATTTTACAATAAATGAGCTTATTTTCTGATTTTGTTTGTTTGTTTATTTGCCTTTAAGGAATTGATATTCCGAATGTTATAAGGATCCTGACTGAAAGTGGAACTCTGAGGGGACCAAGCAATGGYAGCATACAGTGACATGATAGTTAATAGAGATAATGTAGCAATGTTTACTTTCTGTAAGTTTGTTGTTTACTTCATATGACCTCAATTGAGTTTATTTTGTTATGTTTAAGTTTTGTAAAGTGTTTTTTAAATTAAATTAATAACTTGGTCTTGATATTGTTATTTATTTCTCCATTTAGCTGAAAGTTCTTTACTGTGGAAAGGTTTTAGAGCTCATGTTTCTTCTTTCCAAGTTAAAACAGATTTTTAACAGTGATAACTTGTTTTCTTCAATATTATTAAATACTSTATCTTGACAGTCTGATCTTTTCTTATTGTTGGTACTTTTACAAAGAATTATCAACAGAATGAACTACTGCACTCAAAAGTACAAATTCATCTTACAACAAATACTTGGAAGTTATTCCCTGTGGCTGCTGAGCTTGACTCAAAAGCCTTTGTAATCAAAAACCCTTTCCTATATAAGGGTTATGAACTGGTCTCCGTATTTTTTTTAATAAGATGAAAAATAATAATAAAAAGTCAGTGCTGTCAGTCTAGTGCTGAGATGAGAAGTGCCTGGATTATAGGAAGCATAGAAGCTTCAGCAAAGTCAGTAGAAGTTAGGTATGTTTTGCAAATTTAGGGATATAGCCCAATAGGTGTAACCAGGCTCTAGTTAAGAGGCACTGATGTGGTGGCAAAACTATCTTTTGTCTTCTTTTATCCAATCAGTATGAGAATGAAATGAAAGCTGGCTTATACTGCCCTTCAGGCTCTTCTAATGTGAGCTTTTACCAACTAAAGTAGTATTGGTTTAGACTGAATGTAAATGTCTATATATTAATGACTTCTACTTTTGTAGGATGGTGGAAAAAAAGTTTTGAATGGTTATAAATTAGTGTGCTTGGGRAAAAAAAAATTAAAGTGAAGTTGTGTAATTTAAATTCACTTCCTGCTTGTGATGCTGGGTAGCATTCAGTGCTTCTAATTAGAGCTCTTCAGCTTTGCAGCCAAATACTGGTATAATTTAGACATGCTGAGGCCAGATGGCAAATGAACTTTTTAATGTTAACTTACWTTTTTTTGAGATCTGGATGGAAATTGAAAATCCTCATCTTGATGGTTTCACATCAYATCATGGAATGCAAGATGCAATAAAGCTAAGGTAACAAAGCAGCAACGAAATTTTTTAGTTTTATACTGTGAAGACAGGAATGAAAACAGTTCACAGCCAAATTAAAACACTGTTTTAAAGAAASTCTGGGGAATTTCTGGAATGCATCTAAATCTGTTCTTATCAGAGGCAGAGATGGAACCAGAGTTCTTACGGTTCATTTACTCTGTAAAGGAACAGTGTTAATGYCTGCTTAATGAAGGTTAACTTAATCAGTAAAAATCTGAATTCTGAAAATAAAAACAGAAACATCTTTTTCCTGTTTGTTTTCAAAGTGCAGGACAATCTTTGTATTAAAATAATAAAAGCAGAATATTCAGCTGTTGTAAACAGCCATCTCTGGGACAGYATATTTTTCTTCTTACTGTGAAATCATTCCTAGTGTAAATAAAGTTACAATTAAGTTGAAATAACTGAGATTTAAGGTGGGTTTTTTTTGGTTGGGTGCCAGAGGAGCATGCTGAAAAAGAAAAGACCCCTCTATCTGTAGCACACTGACATAAAATGGTTGAATGGTGTGCTGCAGAGTGCTGCTGCACCTCTCAAAAACAGTTGAGAAACCTGAACTATGTAAGAGTATGAAGTGTATACATCTGGAAATGTTTTCAAAGAACACAGTCCAATAAAACCTGTGCAGCTGTACAATTGTTTTGGCTTTTTTTTCTTTCTTAGCTGGTGCAATTAGAGGCTGAAAAAGCATTGTATTATTTTGTTTTTGTATCTGCCTCTGTTTTGTGATGGCTTGGTGTGTTCTTATACTAACGGAAAATATATATTTRTATAAATATTTGTTCCAAAACAGGTTTTAATATTTTACWTGTGCCAGTATTGCAGAGTAAGAAGAAAAAGGCATTATCTTTACTGATAATAATTAAATAATGCTGTTGACTATTTAATAGTATATATTTTGGTTTCTTACAGTAAGAGCCAGGCAGACTTAATAAGGTAACTAGAGAATTAATAAAATTAAAAGTTAAACAATAACAAGAAAATTTAAACCAAGAGAAAATTAATTTTTCTTAAAGCTTTATCTTGGTTTTATACATTGTGATGAGACCAGAGAGCTTCAAGGAAATGATTTTTCACAAAAAGCTGCAGACCTCCTCACAGAAGGCAGAAAAGGGGAAAGGAGAGAGGTGTTCACAGGTTAAATGACAGGAAATGAAAAGTTTAGAGTGTGCCATCATAGAGTTACTGTCTGGTGTGAAGTGAGACTATCTCTGTTCTAGACAGGGATGGAACATCCTCCTCCTTTGTAGCTTCCTGGGTCTCCCACGGTTTTGCACTCTCTAATATGGGAATTGATTACCCCTGTGGAGCAGCAAGTTTTATATAGGTATGCACATACAAAAATGTGTAACATGCTYGATGCTTTATGTGTGAAATAATAACCTCATACATGTGAAATAATAACAATAACCTCAAATGTCAATGCTGACTCTGCAGTGCCTTCACTGGAAAAAATCACTGAATCAATTAGGTTGGAAAGACCTCTGAGATCAAGTCTAACCCATCAAACACCACCTGACCAAACATCACTGTGTCAACTACACCATGGCACTGAGTCCCACATCCTGTCTTTCCTTGGTCACCTCCAGGGATGGTGACTCTAACACCTCCCTGGCCAGTCCATTCCAATGTTTACCCTTTTCTGTGGAGAAATTCCRCTTGATGTCCAACCTAAACTACCCCTGGCAGAGCTTAAGACTGTGTCCTCTTTTCCTGTAGGTGCTTCCCTGGGAGAAGATGCCAACCCACACCTGGCTACAGCCTCCTTTCAGGTGGTTGTRGRGAGTGATAAGGTCTGCCYYGAACCTCTTTTTSTCCARGTTAAATAACCCCAGCTCCCTCAGCTGTTTCTCACAGGACTTGTGCTYATCTCAGTACTGATTATTATCAATGCGTTCGTGTTGTCTGCTGTAGCGCTGGAGCAGCCACTCTTCAGGGGAAGGGAGTACATCTYCACAGAACCACAGAATAAACCGAGGTGGAAGGGATCCACAAGGATCATCGAGTCCAGCTCCTGGCCCTGCACAGGATATCCCAAAAATCACACCATGTGCTTGACAGCATTGTCCAAACACACCTTGAACTCTGTCAGGCTCGGTGCTGTGACCGCTTCCCTGGGGAGCCTGTTCCAGTGCCCAACCCAGGTGAAGAACCTTTTTCTAATATCCAACCGCAACCTCCCCTGACACAACTTCAGGCCGTTTGCTCGGGTCTTGTCACTGGTCACCACAGAGAAGAGATCAGCGTGTGCCCCTGCTCTTCCCCTCACGAAGCAGTGGCACACAATGAAAGCCATATCGCAGAAGAAGCCGAACCATGGCACCGCGTTCCCGCTGCTCAGGGGACACCGGCAGGATGCSCCGGGGCCGCCCCGCCTGCAGGGGGCGCCAACGCGCGCGGCCGCGGCGGAAGCGCGCGTCCCCTTGGCGCGCGGGGCGGGCGCTGGCGGCGCCGCTCACGTGGGCGGCCGCTTCCGGGCAGGCGCTCAGCGGGGGCGGAAGCGGGGCTGGCGCTGCCGCGCGCGTGGTTGGTGAGGGAGCGAGCGGCCGCGCGCGGGAGGAGGAGGAGGAGGAGGAGGAGGTGGGAGAGGAGGAGGATCGGGATCCCCATCCCGGCGCGGTCCCTCTCGGTCCGTCCCTGCTCGCGGGGGCCGCCGCGCTCGCCCTGCCTCTGCGCCAAGGGCCGCCCGCCTTTTGTGCGACCCGCCCTCCCCTCACGTTCCTGCGCCAGGGAGGCGGCGGGAAAAGCGGGAGCCGCCGCGGCGCGGGCCGGGTGCCGCTCCTGGGGAAAGCGGCGGCATCGGCTCCGCCGCGCCTCGCTGCCCCTGCCCCACCTTCCCCGGCGGCTTCTCTCCGCCGCCGCTCCCGCCTCGCCCGCCGCTGCGGGGGCTCCCGGGGGCCGAACTCGCGGCCTCCCCGGCGCCGGGCCGGCACTGACGCGCCTTTATTTAAACGCCTCGTAGAGCGACYGGAGCGGGGCGGAGGGAAGCGGTGCTCGGGGAACGAGCCTCAGCATGTCCGGGACGGCGAGGAAGGCGGTGTGACGGCCTAGACCCGCGGGAGGAGCGGCCGCTCCGGCGCTCGGGTACGGCGTGCGCGGCGGGGTCGGGCGGTGCGGTGCGGTCCAGGTGGCGGCGGCGGCGGGGGATGCGCTGCCGGCGCGGGAGCCGCCCGGAGCTGATCGCCAGTAAGTATCGCTGTCCTGTGCGGGGAGAGAGCTCGCCCGGGGGAAGTACTTACCAAATCAGAGCAGTTAGGGCGGGTGCCTTGCCTTCGGGTTTCTCAGGATTTTTCTGACCGAGCAAGGTAATGAGATTCCCTAAGGAGCCTGACTGAGGGTGCGAGGGTGTAAAACTGGAATCATTAGGTTGGAAAAGACCTCCAAGATCATCGAGTSCAACCTGTAACTGAACATTTTCCTTGAGCCTGAAGGTGGCTGAGTGGTATCTGAAAAGTGCGGCATGCAGCTTTATATTTAATGAGGCTTTTATCGATTTGAGGTTGTTTTACTGTTTAGGGTTTTAAAACCGTGTAAGTGCATGAACTATTAGGTGCACTTAGCTCAGTCATGTTGGAGAGGGCCAGGTGAAAATACACAGAATCACAGATTAGTTAGCGTTGGAAGGAACCTCTGGAAGTCATTTAGTCCAGCTTCCCTGCCAAGTTAGCGTCACCTAGAGCAAGTCAAGAGCTGGTGATGTAAGAATGCCTCCAGGTGGGTTGGAATGTCTCCAGAGACCTCCATGGGCAGCCTGTTCCAACACTGTGATACAAAGCTAAGAATTTCTTCCTCATGTTGAGGTGGAAYTTCTGGTGTTTKAGTTTATGRCCATTGCTCCTCATCYTGTTGCAGRGCRCYATTAAAAACATTCTGGCACCATCCTCTTTGCACCCATCTCTGAGAAATTTATATGCATTAATGCAATTTCTTCTTAGTCTTCTCTTCTGCACACTGAATAGGCCCAGCCCCCTCAGTCTCTCCTCATGAGATGCAGTTTGTGTCAAAATGCAGTTGTTTCAGCAGGAAGTTCCATTAAAGTATTTACATAATTTCATCAGTTGTATATGGTTTTACCTGATGTCTTATTAGGTAGACACTGTGGCATGTATGGGGCTTTGGTTTTGTAAGGCTTTTATTTTTTGATTAGATGTGGTGCATAAGAATTGGAAATGGATAGGCTTAGATTACTAATAAATTATTTCCAGAATATTTACTGCGAGGCAATTTCTGCTGCTTTTAGTAGGAGAAAGGATAATTTATAAATCTCCTTCTTTAAAAGAACTTAATWGACTCTGTTCAGGTGTGTGCACACCTGTATTGTAAAATTTTTAATGCTAATTGGCAGCCAGATAGCTCTTGTAAAAGCAAGCCTTCTAAGTGGAAATAATGTTTTACATCAAAAGCTTCTAGCTATGTCTATGTATCAAGTAGTGAAATTCCTGTTATTCTTTCCTAAAAGATGCATATGGTARAAATCAAATGTTTATGAAGCCATGGTTGTTGTAGTTGAACACTAAAAAACGTTTCTATTTTGGCACCAGACTCCTGAGTTGTTTTAAAAACCTTTTGAGTTGACAGGTTATTTRCGGCAAATCTGTGCTCCAGTTAAAGTGGTCTTGCATATAATTTTTTAACCTAGCAGGTAAAAAGCAGAGATTAAATTGTCAAATGTTTGTGTTATCAGTTGTTTAAAKGGTTGTAAAAGCATAGAAAATGACAGATTCTTTTTAAAACATCTCTAATAGTTATCCTGTTGATACTTACATGAAGTACTCCAGTACAGTACAAATTGCAGCCTGAAATCCATTGGGAAAATCAGTTCTAGGAAAGATGATCACATCCACCAAAAGAGAATCATGGTTTGGATACATTATTTAGAAATTTTCTGGGTTTAGTCAGCTGTATTGTTGGGGTTTCAGGGTTTTTTTTTTGGTGGGTTTTTGGGAGCACAGGGTTGTTTTTAGAGAAGTAAATAAAGGAWTCTGTGGTATAGTGTTTGTTGGGATTTTTCTGTGTGTTGATGTCTTTTTTTTTTAACCTGGTAGAAGTAAGAGTACTTCAAATCAAAATGCATAGAACAAAAACAAAAAACCGTTTAGAAACTTACAGGGTTTTAATTTGTTTTGGTTATTGTACCTCTATTCCAGCGTGTCTGTACAACTTGTAAGAATAGTGATTCATATACCTTATTTCTTATGCCTTACTAAATGTCTTCATTTTCATTCTTTTTACTCTATCTGTGCCTGTTTGACCTCTTCTCTCCCTGCGCTACTTCTAGTTATTTTTAAATGCATAGACTGGATTTTTCAGTGTGTAGTGGAAGTTTTCTTAGGTTTATTATGTCCTRTTTCTGGTGGAATCTTGATTAAACTTACGGTTATACATGTGCASATTGTATGCTGTTAGTGATGAACTTGGCAAGCAGTGTACAATTGAAAGGGAACAGTTTGCTGAGTCCTTGGCTTAACAAGAATCAATAATGTAGAAAGTTGCCTTGCTGATAGGAGCTTTTTAAAACAGARCAAAATCAGAAGCTTAACTCTCGTTAAAGCAGTGGCAGATGCAGATATCTGCATGCTTTTTAATAAAGTAGTTCTCAGGGTAGAGATGGCCAAAGGAGCAGCAGAGTGTTTTTCTGGACACCAGAAGAACAGCTGTGTGGAATCAGTCTGCATGTCTGTTTAGTCTAGCATCTTGTCTCGGGAGTGGACACTCATTGATGCATAGAGAAAAGAATAATAAYGGGAGCCATTGTTAGGAATTTGCTGCTCTTTGTCATTAAACAACTTCGTGAGGAAAAACTACTTTTGTTGTGTATTTAATCAAATTAAATTCTCTTTTTGCAGAGCGTCAGAATGACTAAAAAAAGGAAACGTCAGGAGGATTTCCAGAAAGTGAAATTAAAAGTTGGGAAGAAAAAGCCTAAACTAGAGAATGCAACTGATACTACCTTCAAAACAAAGGCCATACAAATTCCTGAGCAGCTTAAAGAAGATGGAGTACTTCCTACACAAAACAGAAAACTTAACATTAAGGTATACTGTGATAYTACGTTCTGAAATGACAGAACATTACTTGCCTTTTATCTAGGTTTACTGTGGTTACTGCAATTTAGGAAAAAACATTTATTTTAAAATAAATGGAGCAGGGTATCTGAATGCAGCATTGATTTTAAAAACTCTTGTATTTCTTTGGAGGGTGGATTTGTTTTCCTTCATTTTTGTCACCTTCTGTCTCTTGCAGTTCTCTGCTTAAACTAAAGAAAGCTGTTCAGTCTGAGATTTTKTAGTTCTGTTTCTGAGAAAAAGAGTGAGAGGACTTGCCTTTTGTTATCCCTCTGTTGAGTCAGTAGGGTTCTGCATAAACTTTAGAAGGAGATCTCAGGACAAGTCATTATCTCCAGTTTTTCCCATCACTGAATGCTGGTTATTTGTTCATTGCTGTGCTTTGCAATTATGAACAGCAGTACATCATAAGAATAGATTATGTATTTTTAAATGTTAAGAAAAATGTGCAGAAAATAAGTGGGGGAAGTTTGAACAACTTAAAAGTAATAATGATGGCGAGYGTATACGTTTGTTTCCTTATAGGATCTGCTCTCACAGATGCATCACTATAGTCCTGGGGTTAAGCATAATGCACTTCTTGGACTCAAAGAACTCCTGTCTCAGTATCCCTTTGTAATTGATGCACAYCTTTCAAGTATAATAAGTGAGGTGGCAGCTGTGTTTACAGACAAAGATTCTAGTGTCAGAGGAGCAGCTGTTCACCTGCTGCAGTTTTTGGCTTCAAAAATAAGAGCGGAACAGATTGCTCCATTTTTTCCTTTGGTAAGTGCCCATCTCTCTAGTGCCATGACTCATATCAGTGAGGGAATTCAGGAAGATTCTTTGAAAGTCTTGGACGTTTTATTGGAGGCATATCCAGCTCTTCTTACAGACCGCAGCGTTATATTGTTGAAGAATTTTGTAGAGCTTATYTCACACCAGCAACTCTCAAAAAGACTGAAGAGCAGGGACAAACTTTCCTGGATGCTCTCTGTYAACCCAAATCGCAGAGTAACTTCTCAGCAGTGGAGGTTGAATGTGCTTACCAGGCTCAAGAAGTTTCTCCAAGCAGTGGTAGATGGATCCAGTGATACAGAGGATGAAGGGCTTCAAGAGCAGAAAGACAGCTCTCATTCTGTGAGGAACCCARTATGTATTAGTTGGAAGCTCCATGCAAATAATCAGCAGCATATACAACTGTTTGAAAGTGGTGGCTTACGACCAAAGATCAACTCTTCATTTAGACTGAGGTGAGAAAGTATTAACTCATTTGGGAATTAATATCAACTGTGAGATCACAATTTACTTTTTTTTTTTTTAGCCATATTTTAGGACACTTCATGTAATGTGTAGTCTTATTACAGAGGCTTGAAAATACGGTAATACTCAGCAAATAATGGTGTTCTGTGTATATCATGAACTTTCCCATTAGAAAAGCTTTATTTTGTCCTATTCATAATAACTTTGGATTTCCAGCTCTGTTGGGATTTTTTTTTTAATGCAGACTGATGATCAGGGTGTTGTTGCAGGATATTGAACAGACCTAGGGGCAAGTAGGCAATTTTTTTGCATAAAGTATAAGCTTGTTTGTGATAATCAATTTTATGAAATTTTGTGCTTTTACCTTCAAGAGCCTATCATAAGCTTAGGAGTCTGTTGTCTTTGACTGTAGCTCTTTTTATAAAGGACAGCATGATGAGATGTGTCTGGTGATATGAAATTCTGCTGAGTTTCCAATTCTAGGTATTTTAACCACTTTGCCAGTTTATATATTCACTGTGGATGAAAGATGTCTYGGCTGAGATATGCTGATGGATATGAAAGAAAGTGTAGTGTGCTTAGTCACAGAAAGGTTTGTGTGGGTTTTGGTAGTACTCTAAACAAATGTGAGCTGAAGTTAAGGGAGAAATAAACAACTGTTTTTATTTCTCTTCCTCCTCTCTGATTCACCCACTAGGGGGGAACCTCCTACCTCTCTTTATGGTACTTTCTGAACACTGGCATCCTCATATGCATTACTATGAATGTTGCATACCTGCTGGCAGGAGACYTGGAATAGTGACTTAAGAAGTGGAAGCAGTTTAGCTTTTACACAGCTCTGTTACCTGTAGATAGCAAGGTGGCTTGAAGAGAAACCATAATTGTTTTACTGCTGGAGAATACTGAATATGAGATGTAAAGCATTAATACCATCATTTAGAAAGTCTGGCAAAAAAAGGTTTAAAACCCTCTGCCTACTCCATTGCTATGTCCATTTTGTATATTTGAAGGAATGAAGGGCAGAAAAGGTGTTTGCTTTGAATACCAGAGGTGTTGATCTGAATTAGCAGGCATTTTCCATCCCTGTCAGGGAGAGATAGACATGACCATCCATTCCATAGGSTTACTCTTTGTAGGTAGCATATTACTTATGATAGGTATAGGAAACRTATTAAGCCAAGTAAAACACACAGCTTATTCTCTTGAAAGTGGTTATCAGCATAAGTATTCAGTCATGACCAACAGTGTCTGTTGCAGGTAAAATTTTAGCTGGCAGCTAGACAGGTGAAGCCTCTTTGAGGCAGGGGAAGGTTTCATTGCTGAGCACTAAACAGTCCTGTTGAGTTCATCTTTGCAGTCAGAGACACACAATTGTGGACCACTGTATCAGAGGATTCTTGTGTTGTTCCCTGGGTGATACGCAGTGTATGATATACCGTGCCATTTAATAGCTGAAGATGCATTGTATCCAAGAACTGGGGAAATAAACTTTACATCTGGTGTCACCTGAATTGGATTCCACTTTTCTGAGGAGCTAAATTTTSGTGAAACATCGTGATGCACTTCTGGTTATAAATACTTACAAAAAGATGTTTGAAAGCATGAGAAGGAGCCAGAAGAATAGAAGGAAACATGGCTAGAATCCAAGGCGAGATTGGCAAAGCCAGCTGATGGAAGCAGAACAGAAGAATAGGAAGGGAAGGATCATCTGCTTAAGGTACTAAAATGCTCTCATTTTATTGCATATGTGCATATTTTTGGTGTTTTCATTTTTCACAAAGGGCCAATACAGCTTATTTTAGTGACTATGTGTGAAGTTTCAATAATGAAGAGTTGCAGTGGTGGTTTTTGTATTTGTCACTGAAATAGTTTCTAACAATCTAAAGGTGTTTAATCTGTCACTTCCAATCCCAATTGTTGCCTTTTACAGGCATGCCCAGGCCTCTGCTATGGCCACTACTGCAAGGGCAGAAATTAGTTGTAATAAGAGGTTCAGTTCTCCCTCTGTGTGTGTGTGTGTGTGTGTGTATGTGCGTGTGTATGTGTGTGTGTTTTTCAAGTCACAAGTAATCAAGTCCTAGCCTATGGATAACGAGCTGACCAAACCATAAGTAGCTATTTGCTGTGTGTGTGTGTGTTGATAGTCTTGTCAGTAACACTGCAAGTAAGTGTGTGTGTGTGTGTGTGTTGACAGTCTTGTCAGTAACTGCAAGTAAGTTGAACTTTGTTCTTTAACAGGTAGGCTTCCAAACAGCATAATCGTATACTAAATTTTTTTAAGTTTCTGTATCTATTTAATCTTGCAAGTTCATTGGATAGGAATGACATATCACTGGTAATCTGGTGATCATGGCATGAGATTTTCTGAATCAGATTGTAGTATTAGTATTTATTAAAAAGGATCTTGGAATGTTGGGTGATTTAGTGATGAAGATCTTAAAATGTCATTATCATTTGTTGTGTGCTAGACCGTCCTAATGTCTGTAATTAAAGATTGCAATGTTATTAGATTGTTATAATAATGTATTCTCTGCATTATGTACTGACTGTGCTGCTTTTTGCATAAACTCATTTTAGGTGTGGAAAACCAGAAAGCCTTCACAACTCAAATGTGATGGTACCAAGGCATGTGATTTTTGGTTTTTTTTTTGGCTGGAAGAGAAACAGTTGATCTTCAGATTCTGCTGAGAGGACAATATGAAGCTGCAGAGAAAAACAAAGATCACTTTAGAGACTGAAATGGAAGATGAAGTATAGCCAATAAATACATATATGTGCATCAGATAGAAATGGAAAATGCAGTTCATTTGGTGTGCTGAGTGTTTGCTGCATTTGGCAATKCACGCAGAACWGGTGGACAAGWAACTTGACTTAAACTGCGAGCCATAAAACCTTAATAACTTCCAARGACTTTTAACTGTTTTAAAGAACAGCAAGTTGCTTCCTTATTTTCTGTTTCTTTTATACTTCCTTACTTCCCTTTGCTGAATTTGTGTTGTCTTCTTATTGTCAAATGGGAGATATTTACACAATTTTTGTTTGTTTGATCCTGCTTTGTAAAAATACTGGTGTTTTRAAGAAAAKTGACAGCTTAAGTGGTATCTTGAAGTTCCCTTCTGTAGTATTTCATAGCTGATACACAGGTAATATGCTTTGCTGTGTTTCCAAGAGCCACCTTACCACTCAAGAGTCATGATAAGGACACATGACAAAGAGATTAAATGGCATCAAACCCTCCCAGTTCAAGTGAGCCTGTATTGCTAATGATATTGTACTAATCAAATAAATACTGAACAGATTGCTATAATACTTTTTCATCATCTGTTACTGCCACTTAGATTTTATTTAAGCACTGTCATTGTTAACCTTGAATATGTGGAGGAATCTTATCTTGAGAGATATGGGCTTCTTTTGCAGGGATACTTGAAAGCTATGCTAAGTATTCTTACCCAAATGTTTTCAGCAGCTGTGAGGAGTATCCCTTTTGGCATGAATTCTTCCTTTTTCCATTCTTTGTTTCAGAAAAGTACTGAAGTAGTTTTGTGTTATACTTTTGTAGGAGTGTTCCAGTGTGAAATACCAGGTTTCATGCAGTGTTCACTTTTTAATGGAGAGATTTTTGTGTTCCTTAAACAGATTACTGGAATTCCAGAGTTGTGCTATAATRTCAGATATTTTCTTAAGAGAAATTATTAAAGACTACTACTTCAGAACTATTCCAGCCAATTACTGACATTTCAGGCTCTCAGCTGAGTGTGTAATCCTGTCACAGCATAGCATTTTCAGGACAACCTCACTTTTTCAATGAGATTATAGTCTTGGTATCTACAGGCTTTAGAATTCATAGTCATTATAACTGAAAAATGGTGTTTGTCTACTGTATTTGAGATGACTGAGAGTTAGAATRTCTTAAGGTAGAACCATTCACCCTAAACYCTTTCTAGTCTGAAAGCAACTGGTATCTACTGCAGTGCCTGCACCAGAGAAAGGAAATAAAACAACAAAAGGAAAGGACAAATAGACCAAATTGCATTTAGTGGATATGTTGGTTACAGCAGTTCATGCTAAGCTTTATAAAATTTTAAGATGTTTGGTAATCATAGTAAATACTAAAGATAAAGCAATTTTTTTTTCTTATGAGCAGTTATGTTTCTGCTTGTCGGTTTTATTGCTGGAGATCTAGATTCTCTCCCCYCATCTTGCCTCAAGTGAAAAAGAGCTTGTATTTGTCTCACACGTTCTTTCTATTCCTTCCCCCTACTCCTTTTACAGTTTGTTAATACCTGGGTTTGTTTTGGTTTAATAATTCTCTTGATAGACTCTCCCATACAGAGAGAAATGACAGAATAAAATTTTCTCTTATTATGTGTATTATAGATGATTGCTGCAACATGTAGCATCATAGAAAGATGTAACTAATTGGATAATTCAGAAATGACAGGTTGACTAGGGAAAACTGCTTTACATCTTCAATAAGAAATTAAAGTATTTGTAAAGAAAACTGCAGGTTTGTGGAAAGCGAACTGTTTTTCAGTTGCTATTTTGAGTGTATATGTAAATAAAAATYACTTGGAGATCATCGCTGAAATAGAAAGGAGTGTAACAGGAGATTCAGCATCCTAATTTTATGTATATTAGGAAATCAGAATTATGATAGGAATTCCCTGCTATGAATTAGGAAACAAAATCATAATGGAAAGCAGTTTCACATCTGTCATCAGTTGAAACTGTTGTTGCTTTTTTTTTAAGGGCTCTGTATTCCTTTAAAGTTACAGGAGTTATTCAGGGTTTTGGTTCTTTAAAAAACATTTTTGAAATGGATACATGTTGCCTGAACTTATCCAGTAGCAGGATTGGGTCATATCTGCTGATAATCCCTTCAGAAACACAAAGTGTTTTGAGTGGGTGGAGAAAATGAGTTGGTTTTTTTTGGTTTCTGACAAATGTTCTTTTAATTTAAACTGTATCCTAATTTAAATTTTTCTTTAACTTCATTATGAGATAATTTTAACAGTTTTCTATTTAGTTGCTTTTCAGAGCATAATAGCTAAGCATCAGGTGGGAACCAAAGGTATATTTTTGCAGGAAMTTCTTTTTTTTCTGCTATTTATATGAAAACCATTGTGTTTATTATAGTTGGAGATGATGATTAACTGTAATAAACCTAATGCATTTGACAATACCTTGTAGTCATCTTCGTTATTTTGCTTTAGTGAGCTCAAAAGCTTCTTTTTGTATTATTTTGCTGTGCTGAGTGTAATGAATTCCTTCCTGTTGATCGATGGTGRTATGATAATGCATATAATATTTCTCCACTCATGGACTTTGCATATAACTATGAGGAAAGAAATACTGAAATCTTAGAAGTTGTTAGAGAAGCACACAAACTTGCAGGGAGACTTGGGAGCAGGTTTGTTGTAGATGGTTTGAGCTCCCTTTTTTCCAYACTGAAATCTAGCAAGAGAGCCAGCAAACATTAACATGTTAAAAAAAGTAGTTTTCCCCATTATTCAGAAAACAGGAAAGTGCTGTTACTGTAATCTTGTTTTGACAGGTGTGATCTTTATCTTTTTATCTTTTTTTTTTTCTTCTTCTTTTTTTTCTTTTGTTGTTTAGGTCTCTGACAAGTGTAATGGACAGTGCAGAAAAAGGCCTGTCCTCGGCTGAAAACTTAAAAGGTTTTATTGAGATAATAATTCCATTACTCATTGAGTGCTGGATTGAAGCATCTCCTGCACAATCAGCTCCCATTCTTGGAAACCTTTTGGAATCAGAATCTCAGCAGCTTATGCATCAAGTGCTTAGCATAATACATTTATTGTGGAAACTCACAAAGCGACATGATGAAACATACAAAATGGTAAGGGAGAAATGATCCATGGTATAATGATGACAGTTCATTTTGTTTTGATTAGAAACTAGTGGTTTGGTGATTTGAAATAGTGATACTTTATTAAGAGACAAAAAGCCTAGGTGTTGAGTAGATTTTTAATCAGGATTTTGTTGCCTTGTACTGTACAGAAGAATCTGTTGAACTGAGCCATGAGTTCAGTAATAATCTCCAGGATTCCTTGACAGACTGCAGCACAAAAGCTTTTGAAACTGAAAGGGGTATTGGAGAAGTGGAGCATTTTGTCTCCAGATAACCTCTAGAATATAAATTGAAACAAAGTTTAGAATCGTGTGTTGAAAAATTTTGTGGGGATGGGTGGAAATGAACAAACCCTAAATGTTTGGGAAGGTGGAAAATAGTTGTGGTGTGGGATCCTGTAATGGCTTGGTACAATCTATGTTGCTGTAGGATCCTACCATRACTGGTAGGATCATAAGACATCAAATCAAAATTTCAGTAAGGATTTTAGGAAGTATCCTCTGAAGCTGTTTTTTTTTCCCAAGTTATTTTCTCTGTCTTGTACTTCATTGCTTTTTTTTTGTAACTTCTGCTTTTCAAAAAAAATTTGCAAATTGGAAAAAAGAACACAATTTCYATTTTGACTGTTAAGAGTAGTTGGAAGTAATGTCTTGACCCCTCTTGATTTAACCTGTGTATACAACTGTAGGTCCCTTTGCTATATAAAAAGCTAAACATAGGGTAATTATTGGAAAACCTTTGTGAATTATTACATTAGACCAAAGTTACCCAACATACCCAGCCTTGAGGGGTAGATTCAGTGTGTCTGCCCAAAACACACTGTTCCTCTTTTTCCTTCTTCATCTTTCTTGGAGGCCCTCTTGGAAGCAGGCAAAAAGTAGGCACTTGCCCAGGTAAATACCTGTRGTAGCCTCCTGCCCTTAGCCTTTTTGTGAAGGATTCTGCAGAGCTGCTGCCTTTAGCCATAGGGTTGCCTGTATTTTCATCACATGAATGGCATGCTTCTCTGTCAAGATATGAACTMTTTTGGGTGCACACAGTTGAATTATGACCTTATGTTGTTTGTGGGGAAGGGAGGGAATCTGAGGTTCATACTACTTGGTTTTTTTGTGGAGCAGATTTCATTTTAGATGAATTATTTGTTTTGTCTTATTAGTTACCTTTATATATAAAATGCATTCAAATGGCTCAGTTTGARAATGAAAGCTTTGTTTATTTAATAGCCCTTGGGCTTACAGGCCAAAGTGGCTATTWTAGTTACTGTGGAAAACCACTCTGAATATGCTTAGTGGAAAGCTATTGATCTTTGAAATAGTTTAATGGCCATTCTCTGTTCTTAATAATCAAATATCAAAAAGATTATTCTGCCTCATCGATTTGATAGCATTGCAGACTTTTTTACTGTTGAGTTCTGCTGGACACTTTGTGGAATGGTGCCTGGATGTCTGCTAACCCACAAGATAAAATTACTTTAAAATACTGAATCATTTTTCTGTAAGGACGGCCTTTCTACTGGAAAATGTTTTGTCAGTGGCCTTTTGACCACAAGTACATTAATGATAGGGAAAGATGAAAGCAGTATTGGAATACATCCTAATGGAAAATTCAGGACAGTCACTGCAGTTTTGAATMAGAGTCCACTCTGATTTTAAGAACCCTGATAAATTGCTGTAAAAGCACTTTCAGTTCTGATCTGTAACTCAGCTTAGTATTGCATTTGTCCACATAAATAGGTGCTAAAAAGTACAGTGGTTCAGTTAGGATTATATGTTGTTGCTCAGCCTTACCCCTGTGTTTTGTGGACCTTCATGCACAGGATGTGAAAATATAGTTCTATAAACAACTTGCAAACAGAAGCTAAAGTTCCTGGGTTTCACTGATTGCAATAATGAAATTTGAAACATAATTGTGTTAATTTATTTCATTTACTCTCATGTTTTCTGTCTRTCATCTGTTTTCCTTAATAGGAGCTATGGCTTCGAATGAATTACCTTGTTGATTTCAAGCACCACTTCATGCGTCATTTTCCTTATTCTTTGCCAGATACGGTAAAACACAAAAAGAAAGATCCATGCAAAAGGTAAGAATAAAATCAATGTCATGTAACAGCTTTTAATTTTGTGAGAGAAGTGAGGCATTGTGAGTCATGTGCTTTATCTGCTATTAAGTTTTTAATGGTGGAAAAGAAAACTTTTGATTGCTTATTGTTGTAAGACCTGCAGAGACACTTTTATTGGAAGGTCTTATTGCTTTGAAGTGAAAAGTATGTTGTAAAAGTATTGTAAAGAACATTGTCTGAATAGCATCAGGTAGAAAATTAAATTCTGCCTTAGGTAAATGAAAATGTCTTATTCAACTCTTGACCTGTAATTTGCATATTGCTAAATGGTAGTTATTTTAGGCTGACTGGTTTCATATTCCTGCATGTTTTCATGAGTTGACTGTTGAATTACATCAAAACATAATTCAAACATTCTTTTCATCTCCATGTAGTCTTCTCTAGTTGTATTGCASGGCTGGGTAAATACAGCCAGGAGGAGAGATGAGGCATGTTGYGAATGTCCTATATGGCAAAGCAGTACTGGAACAGGAGAGACCAAACACRCATTTCTTCACTATTGAGCTGTCAGAGCAGATGCACCAATTATATTTTGGTATAGGCCGGTAGAAGGTGGTTTCCTCTCTCATCTCCCAGATGAGACTAAATTAATGCTAAAAGTCTGTTCTGAAATCATACTGTACCTTTGCAGACTGTATAGAACACTGGTGTATATACAAGGGTCTGTACATACAGGTTTCCATTTTAATCTCAAAAATAATTTTTTGAAATCTGTTTTCCCCCTTTCCCCCCCTTAACAACAGGAACTGTATGAAATCTTCAAACAATGTAGACCATCTTTTACTGAACTTAACCTTGTGTGACATCATGGTTTCATTAGCAAGTACTTCAACACTTCAGACAGACTCTGGTTGGCTGGACATGATAAGGAAATTTGTGACGGATACTCTTCAGGATGGCAGCAAGTTGAATAGCAAGCAGGTGAACAGATTGCTTGGGGTGACGTGGAGACTAATGCAAATACAGCAAAACAAGGGTAAGATGAGTAGTTTCTGAAAATTAAAATTAGGCACTGACAAAGCTTGAGTTATTTTAGTGTTTTCCAGTCTCTGCATGTTACATTCTCAGTTGTTGCATCATAATATATTTTGTCATAGAGGTAAATCCAATTTAATGGTAATATCACTGCATGTAGCATTGCAAACTTTATTTTTGGAATGCTGTTAGATTTGTACTGTTGACAGGCAAAGTGTGAATATATTTGTGTACCTGTTTTCTGGTTTTACTTCTCAAGCTACTCTTGTAAATGGAAATACAATCTTTATATTGAAGAAGTAATTTCTAGGATGTAAAAGCGCATGATGCTTTAACATCCCAATCCTTATTTAAAGTCATTAACATGGCTGATAGACTCTCCTGAATACTGTCAGATGACCATTTTAGTTCTCTGATGATGGGAAATGCCACAATACTTTTGATGGAAGCTGCTGTTGAGTATTTTTAAAAGTGTTTGATTTGAATCCTTTTCCAAGAGAAAACATTCCCAGTTGTGACTTGCTGGACCAGTACAAYATTTTAGTTTGCCTTTTTCTTTCATTTCAAGTACTACTTGGTTGTATTCCAAATGAGACCTTGGATGGCGGACTTCCAAAAAGGACTTTTTCAGTAAACTAAAAAGTGACAGCAGTCTTTTATGTTTTACCAGTCTGATAGAAATGAATTCCATGTCCAAGTAGTTTATAGAAAAGCCCTTAGCAACAGATACCATTGTTAAAGTTGTAAAATKAAAAGATGTCAAACATCCCTCAAATATATTTTGGCAGTTAGTTACATTTCCTCCCAAATCTGTTTTAATTGGGAATCTGTCTATTCCCATGTCCCTGGTRACAAAGGTGATAGCTACTTGTTCCTGTCTGCACTTCAAATTTAGCTTTGTGCTGAAGGCAAATAATAATCCAAAGTCAGAGCCTGTCACACCRGTGAGCTAAAGCAGAGGAATTGCTACCCAGGGAAGTAGCCTCCAAACAGCTGTTAGACTGTTAAATCAGATATTTCAGGCCTGTCTTGTCCAGTAATGGAATGTTTATTTTATTATTTTTTTAACTTTGCCAGGCTTTTACCAGATAGTGGATAAAGGCTTGTGTTTTTCTACCCAAAGTGGCCATTTTAGTGGAATGATTTTCCTCAGGAATACAGAAAATAAATAAGCTTTTTAGAAGTTACAGTGAAATTTTGGAAGATTAATATGTTCAACTCTTTTCTGCTGATCCAGTAAAGGTTCAGTGTGAAATTGGTTACCTGGTAAAGCTGTGTCTGTATGGATAGTTTGTCTCATCCCTTCAAGATAATCCTTGTGCAGTATTACAAATCTGACTAGATGCCAGATTGTAATTAATCTATTAGCCATAGAAGAAATACAGTCTTGACATACTGAAAAAAAAGGGTGATGGTTCAACAAGAAGTGCAAAGCCCTGCACCTGGAGAGGAACAAGCCCATGCATGTAGCCCTGTACCTGCTGGGAGATGACCAGATGGAAGTAGCTTTGACAGAAAAGGACCAGGGGTCCAGGTGGAGCCAGCAGTGGGCCCTTGAGGCAAAGAAACCCAGAGGTGTCTGCAGGTTGAGGGAGGGATCCTGCCCCTCTACTCTGCACTGGTGTGGCCAGCTTTGGGCTCCCCACTGTGAGAGAGACATGGACATAGTGGTGAGAGTCCAGCAAAGGRCTGTGAGGATGATGGAGACATGGGAGCATCTCTTCTGTGGGGAAAGGCTGAGTGAGMTGGGACTGTTCATTCTGGAGATGAAAAGGTTCAGGAAGCATCTCATCAGTGTATGCAAACACCAGAAGGAAGGGTGCAAAGAAGAGAGAGCCATGCTCTTTCCATTCATGTCCAGTGACAGGACAAGCCATGGGCACAACCTAAAACACAAGAGGTGCTGTCTGAACATCAGGAACACCCTTTTCACCATTAGGGTGACCAAGCACTGGCACATGTTGCCCATAGTGATAGTGAAGTATTCATCTTTGGAGGTTTTCAGAAGACTCTGCCATCAGACTATGCCATCTGGACATGGTCATGGGCAGCCAGATCAAGCTGATCCTGTTTCAGCAGGRGTGTTGGACCAGATGAGCTCAGAGTCATTCATTTGCACTTCAACCATTATGTGATTCTGTGGAAGCAAAATTTTTGTGCGTGATTTTTTTTTTGATGGCACCCTAGAAATTTTTAAGTGTGTTGTGTCAGATGGGACTGCAGAAAAAAAAAATCTAATAATAATAAATACCAAAAAAAATAACTCTTGAGTTGTTTAAAATCTATATGACATTGATGTTAAAGCCTGGAAGGGTGTTTTTTAGAAGACAATGCAAAGTGAAAAAGGCCATTACACTCCAAAAGAAGTTTTAGAGCACAATGGAAATCAAAAGAGGCAAAATTTACATAGAAAAAACAAAAGACCTAATGAAAAAAGAGATTAAATAAAACCATAGTCAACCTTCTGTGCTTTATGCCACACAAGCATGGTTCCATTTTWCCAGATTGCCTGTTTTGAGTAGGGATTTATTTTAGGGTGAAATGCACATATTGCCCTTTTTCTGTGGATGTCTAGAAGAGCTTGTAGCTGTGTTSTCTCAAGATTTATCTCCATTGCTTAAGATCAACCTTGGGACCTGCTCTTTGTAAGTAGGAGATCTGACCCTTTCTTGATTTCTTGGGTATGACTTCAACAGCAACTTGCCTTCTAGCTGTGTTTTTGATAAATTGTCTTCATATAACAAAAGAGCACACTCAGTCAGTTCAGAAGGAGGCTTGACATGTGCCAGTTAAAACTGAAGTGTTTTAAAACTCATGAGTTCTTCAGGTGCGTTCTGGACATCTGTATAATGTGGTCCTTTTTAAGTRTTACTTTTTAAGAGTATCTTTTTTAATTGCTTCCATTTTTAAACTTGTCCTGTTCACATGAAAAAATTAAAATAGTCRGACCTGTTTTATTTAACATGCCACAGAGTTATTGGTAAGTAAGAATTCTACTCACTTAGAATAATTCTTTTTTCAGTTAACATCCATTAGCTAAACACTACATAAAGTTATAATTGTTATTCAAGTAAGAATAAGCCAGTGTTCTGTTTAAAAAGTACTGTCCAAGGTGAATCTTCACCTAAAGAATATGTGAATTGAGTAAGTTGATGCTACTGATGCATTGAAAATTACTTAATAACATGAAATACTAGAATGTATTTTATTTTTCTGCTAAAACGTGTTTGATTCCAACTTCTAAATGGCCTCCTGCATTATGCTGGCATGTGACCAGGCCACTTAAGATGATTTTTATAGTATGCTTTTTAGTGAAAATTCCTATATGGTAACTTGAAGTTGAATAAGAGTTTTACAGACAAAGACTGGTCCCTGACTGGATCCAGAATAATTTTTAGAATGGAGCATTCTAAATGGTGCGTAGAAAGTTGCTCCATTCAGTGTGGAGCACAATAGTTTATCTGGTTTTGTATAAATAACTTACTACAACTGATCTGTATTACCTGGACAAAAAGATAAATGTTTCTCAGCCTTGGTTTATGAAGATAATGAAGTAATCGTTGCTACTTAAATATACCTTAATTGGATTGAATTCCTTGGGACCACAAGTTCTTCTGGGACAAACTATTGAGTCAGGTCTCACACTCTGCGTGTATTGCTGAAGTTTTCAGATTCCCATTCTTTTCATGCTTGTCTTCTCTARACTCAGGTATTTTTCCATGCTTTGCTAATTTTTCCATCCGAGTGTTTAGTCTGGTTTCCAAGAAAAATGTTTGATCTGTTTCTCAGTCTATTACAGTAAGTTCTGCATTTGCTGGTTAGTTTTAGCCAATTTGGTCACAGTGGTAGAGCTTTCATATGTTAAGTCTGGTGATAACATATGGTTGATGAGAGCTTCAGGGAAGGAAAGGTTGCAGGGGAGTTAGCAGTACTCCTTGCAGTGTCTTGCCAGCAGCCTCTTGAGGTATTTATTTTCTGGTTAATTAGCAAATGTAACTTGGAGCCAGCTGGTTCAGAGACAGGGAGAGCTGGTGAGGTTAGCATGTGTGGCAGGGAGAAAGGGGGATCCTACAGAGAGATCTGAAGGCACCGGGACAGGGAGGTTTTGGGGAGCACAAGTAAATAAGTAGAGAAGATTGGTATGAAGTTACTACACTAGGGAAAAAGGATTGGAAGATAGCTGTGGGAAGCAGGAATTTGCTGGTTCTCAGCTGCCTTGCAACCTGTCTTCAGGAAGTTCTGAAGTTTTCACTTGCATGTTGTCTCTGTTCTTTTGTCTGGCTCTTTCACAAGCTGCACACAAAAGTGTTGTTTTAATGGTTTAGAAATCAGTCCAGTAGTTCAATGTGGACAGTTGTAGGTAAAGATTATAGTTCTCTGTGTGCATATATAAAATCAGAAGATTAAGAAGTATTACTTCATGGGTTTTTTTATTTTTTTTCAGTAGCAACAGAACCCTTGATAAAAGCTGTATATACACTATACCAGCAAAGGAATCTCCTTTTTCCAGTTCGTACATTGCTTTTGAAATTTTTYAGCAGAGTTTACCAAAAAGAAGATTTGAGGACGCAAAGAATCAGGTACAAAAAATAAGGCATATTCTTTTTCATTTCAAAATACTATATTGATTTCAGGAGTGAGAGTACCGAATTTATATGTAGATGTCATAATACTTAATTCTGAGTCTGTTTTGACACTGTCACTGAAATCTGAAAGTTTGTGTTCTCTGTGAGATGGAGATGTATCAGCTTGGTTGTCTGTCTTAGCATAAGTGCTAGATAGATCTTAATGGCAYAAAATTTAGTTTGAAGCACATTGTTACTGGCTGTGTGGCAGTTRTTGGACMTGTCAAGATCATGCAGCTATAGCCRTGGAGCATTTYCATTACTTCAGCCTGGCATGATGGRCTTGTGACTTAGTATTTCTGGTAGTGACCATTTAGCCTTTCTGACTTTTTTTATTCAAGAAAAGTATTCTATTGTTCTGGGTGTGTGGTTCCAAAGAGATAAGGTTTAAGTGTTTTTGTCCTTCTGGGCTCCTGGTTTCATGGTTCTGTCAGGTATCTGACTTGCTTCAGATGTAGAAAGAGGATATTATTTTCTCTGTATATTGCTGTTACAACAGTTTTTCRTTCATTGGATGTGTCCAGACTGTCTCCAAACCTTGACTTTTCCAGAASGTGTTTTTTCAGCCAAGTCATCTAGTTCCAGCAATGTAAAAACTTTAAACAAAAAACAGGCTGCATCAATCCAAGCTCGTTTGATACCTGCAGGTCCCCTTCAGGTACTGTAAGGCAGCTCTAAGGCTTTGGGGAGATCTGTTTTTTTTCCAGGCTGAGCAACAGCAGCTCTCTCAGCCTGTCTTTATAGGAGAGGTGCTCCAGACTTCTGATGATCTTCATGGCCTGCTTGGATTTGCTCCAACAGGTCCATGTCCTTCTTACTTCTGGGGCCCAGAGCTGGGKGCAACACTCCAGGTGGGGTCTCACCAGAGCAGGGTAGAGGAGCAGAATCCYATCCCTTGACCTTCTGCCCAGGCTGCTTTTGATGCAGCCCAAGACATATTCTGGGGGATATGATCAGTTTCTACCACTGAAAAAGTCAAACCTCAGGTCTCTCAGAAGTCCTGACATCTATCAACATAGTCAAATGGTAAAAATGTTCCCTTCTGCTACTCCTTTGCTTTGTTACATGTGTTGTTGTAATGCCTGGGTACGTGTAATTAGATCTACAGCCAGAAATAATCTAATGCTGTGCTCTAAACATGGTAATAAGTGTAGGGAATATGAAAGACAAGGGAAAACACTTGGGAATATCCCATTTTCCTCCTCTATTCACCCAGAGTGAAAGAGAGATCTTTTTCATACTGACTCATTTCCCTGAGGTTACATAACCACTGTTCTCTGTACTCACCTGAAAGTCTTGAGCATCTCATTGAGTTTCATGTGATCATATGGCTATCTGTAAAGCTTTAATTTTCTATCTTTAGACATCACAAATAGCAGTAGTTTCCCTACTGTTTCTCTTAGTCTTCTACATGGATCTGGACATTTTTAGTAACACAAGAATGAAATCTCAAAAATTCTTTATAAAGAAGTATGACTACACTTACRTCTGACATTTGAAGACAGTATAATATTTGTGTACTGCACTGATGCATTTCTTTCCYTTAGAAACAAGTGGGGTTTTTTAATTTCTTCAAAATGTGGACTGTTCACCAGATCCTGGATGACATTCATGTTGTTCCATTTAGTTTGACGTCATAATGTCTTCAGCCCTCTTCTGACTGTTCTATTCATTCTTTTAATTTATTTTTTTTCTCAGAAGCTTGTCAAGAACTGCCTAAGAGGAGCAGCATTTGCATTGGAGCATTTTTCCAGAATTTCTTYGTGAATGTGTTTATTTTTTAGGTGTGTCTGATTCAGAGGTTGAGTAGGAGCTTTTGGCCTGTTGCTGCCCTGCAGGAAAAAGAAAACTTGATTGATTTATTACAGGGTTCAGAATTAAGTTTTGTCTTGTAATTAGCTTCACCCCTAATCACTGTACACATACGTGCAATCACTCTGTGTGTGTGTGTCTGTGTGTACGTATGTATTCATATACTGGTAAGATCTTAAAAGGCCTCACAGCCTGCACGTGAGATGCTACAGGAAGAAGACAAGAATTAATTTTATGTAATGCTCTAAGCTTCCAACCCTTTGAAGCCTGTACTTCCTCACTGTGCAGAGCTTTTATGTGTTTATCACTTAGTGGATGTCTCATGAGCTTTTCTCATCATTCCTTGCCAGTCTAAATCAAGAGCAACTACAGCATCCTCTGGCAAGGAGTGGCAAAGCTCAGCTGTGTCAAGRCCCAACTTTCTTTGCTTGTTTAATCCTGGCTCTTTGTAGCTTCATTTGATACTAGCACCTGCTTCCTTCTCTGCGAAGAGGAATCAAATGTTTTATCCTCATCCACAATTACCATGTCAGGTGATTTGAGCCCCCTTCCAGCTCACTCACTTCAGTTGTCTGTTCTGCAGGCTCTTCTTACTGTTGAACAGTTCATCTCCTCCCAGGAGGGAAGGCCCTTCCCTCTTGTGTCATGGGTACTTAATTTCCTTGAAAAGCTTTTGGTTGACAGGTCTTCCAAACTGAAATAATCTGTGTCATCAACATGCTACTCTTGTTGACATCTTCAAAGACCTGCTTTGAACTTCTTGATTTATGCTTGGCAGATTTTTTTTTTGATCATCACTTTAGTAATAAGCTGATGAAAAGCTTTTGGTTTATAAATGATACTTGATTTGATAAGCCAGGGTGACATACAAATTGTAGCCTATGAAAGATAGGATTGGTCTTCACAGTTGTTTCAGTTTGAGTCAGAAAGGAGGAATAAAAGCAAATTAGTCAAGGATGGGAAGGGAAGTTTGTGTGGGTTTTTGTTGGTTTGATTTTTTTTTTCCCTCCAACTGATTTTTCCCTCTTTCTTTAGAAGTCGAAGTAAAGTTTTATCTCGTTGGTTGGCTGGCTTACCTCAGCAACTGGCTCTGCTTGGCTTGAGGAACCCTGAGCTTTCCAATCAGCTCATTGATATCATTCATTCCGCTGCTTCTCGTTCAAACAAGGAATTGTTACAAAGTTTACAAGCCACTGCTGCTCGAATATATGGTAAGACTATATGGCAAGGAATTTTGTCCCTCACCTGGCAGGCATGTTGCAATAGGTGGAAAATCCTGTTGTTTCCCTAGTGAACTCAAGACTGGGTGGGGGCAGGGTTAGAGATTGGTTCAGTCTCCTGTAGTAAAGGTTAAATGAACTATGTATGTCATTTACTGAGGGAAAGTAAAAAGATATCTTTAGTTCAAGTTAACAGAATGTAGACTGGAAACTTTAGTTTTTRTGTATCAGAGAATAATAGAATAATTTAGGTTGTAAAAGACCTCTAAGGTCATATTCTAAGTAGTATCCCAGTGCTGCCAAGTCCCCCACTAAACCATGTCCCCAAATACCAAATTTTTTGAACACTTGAGAAGATGGGGATATCACCATTTCTTTGGACAGCTTGATCCTGTCAGTGAAGACATTTTTCCTAATACGCAATCCAAACCTCCCCTGGTACAACTTAAGGCCGTTTCCACTTATCCTGTCACTTGGTACCTGGAAGAAGAGGCTGACTTACCCTCACCTAGCCACAGCCTCCTTTTAGGTAGTTGTAGAGAGTGATAAGATTTCTCTCCTAGCCTGCTATTTTCTAGGCTAGTATTGGGTTTTTTTTGCTTTTACTCCCTTATTGGATGTTGGTGACATTGTCCTCCTGCCGGCCAGCAGCTCAGGTGTCTGGGCAGTGCAGTTGGGGTGTGTCAGGGTGTGCTGACAGTGTGTTGTGTGCCGCAGATCCGCTCGAGGGCACGCTGGTGCTGYTGCCGGCCGAGGCGCAGCGGCGCCTGGTGCAGCTCGTGTACTTCCTGCCCTGCCTGCCCGCCAGCCTGCTCGCCTGCCTCAGCCGCTGCTGCATCATGGGCAGGATGTCCTCCGACCTCGCCGCCACCCTCATCGGCATCCTGCACATGAGGTACCGCGCTCTGCGCTTGGCTCTAGCCAAAAAACAGCTTTCGGTGTGAATATTAGTGAATAAATAATAAAGCGTTAGTTTTGTGATCAATTTGCACACAGAAAATCAGTATAACGTGCAGGAAATGATGGTGTGAGGCAATTTAATGCTTGAGTCAAACTTTACTCTTAGCCTGTTGCTTTGACTCTGTCTTTACACTGCCCAATTTTCTCCAATACATTATAAGAAAATCTTAAAATTGTTTGGGTTGGAAAAGACCTTTAAGATCATGTCCAGCCATTAATCTAGCACTGCCAAGTCCACCCCTAAACCTGGTACTTAAGTGCTATAATCATCTGTCCATATTATTTTACCATCTTTGTATATATTAATGAAATCTGTTAAGAATTKCCATCTCTAAATCTTATCAGTGCTTTTAATACTGAATCCTTTCAGTAAGGATGCAAAGCAGCAGTAATTTACCTCTTACAAAACCTGTAATGTTGCACWCTATTGAGTACCTCTTACCCAGAACGTCATCACCAGTGGTCTCTGTTGTACCACTGATGGCAGCTTTTCCTCGTAAATGCTTCAACCTGACGCAGCCGATAGTGAAAAACTGCCAACCAATTTGTTTTCTCATGATCTGCTTTGTTCAGCTCCCTTTTTCTTCAATTACCACACCTTAACAGCCAAATTTTAGTTGCTAGGCAAATGCCCTGTTTGAAAGTATTCATGCTCTTTTTTTTTCTGTCCTGGCCTGAAAGAGAATAGGTTTGCCTGTGAAGTCAGGGAAAGAGGCTGCTGTTCCATTGGAGTGAGTGGRGGGCTTGCTGAGATTTACAAGGGTGTTTTGCTTTGCTGCTTGTGGGAAAAATACATTTGTTTTTCTCCATTGGTCAATATTGTGGAACTCTGAGTAAGCAAGCAGGAACTGAGCTTAAATGAATTATGCTTAAAGTGATTCTTGATACTTTTTGGAACTGAAACATATTTAATCAAAATATGACACAACCCAATCTACTGTCAAATACAGATMTGTTTGTATTAGCTTTGTAACGTGGATAAGGTGGCTCACATAAGAAACAATAGTGGTGAAATCTATATCCTATACATAATGCATTATTGTTGTAAAAGTGAAAATCTAGTTTTGGGAAGGTGGACATCAGATGTTATTTTTAAAAATGAAGAATTRTCTGCCACATACTGGAAATGCAGTGGCAAAGTGTAACCAATTCAAAGACAGTCATTGTAAGAACTAAAATCGGTAATAAGCACTCAGGTGCTTATTTTGTTGTTAGATCTTAGTGGATCTTCAGTGTGGGAGATTTTTGCAGTAACAGTGTGCCTATTTTCTAAAAATTGCCGTAAAGCTGCTGGTGGGTTGTAGGCATTTGATCTGCAAGGGGTAGACAGAGGGCAGTGTTCTTACCAAAAGTAGGTTACATTGTGACAACAGAGGAGGAGGAGTAAATTCTTTATTTTCAGAGGTGCAAAGAAAGTATTTYGATTTTAATTTATGGCATTTAGAACGTGTTTGAAACTTAAGTTGGATTCCAAGATGTAGCTAATAAACCCAAGAAGTCCATCGGAATCATTAAATGAAAGAAAAATGTGCTGATGTACTTAAAATGGGGCAGTTTCTTATACTGATAATCCCTGACAGTCCTCCTTTCTGGAAGCCTATAAGTTTTGATGAAACTTGAAAAAGAGAGATTGTTCTTGTTTGAGCRTTATTTTATTTGATAAGGTTGTTCTCACTTCATTGAGCGGGGCCAGTGTTAGGAACACAAACTTGATTCATTTCCTTTAGAAGCACACCTGAAAATAATACAGGTCTTTTGGAAATATTAAAATGACTCTTTCCTAAACAAAGTGAATGCAAGACCGTTGAAAATACATTCTTACCTATATATCCAAGTTAAAAACTTGTACAGGTTTTCAAGTGCTTATAGATGACATGGCTTGTAGCTTTGGCATAGGTGAAAATTACTTGGTGGAAGACTTTTTTGTTTAATCATCATGACTGTAAATATTTTATCCTAAAAGCTTCATCTAAGGAGCCTTAAAGAATTAAAGAACCAAGATGATAGAAATGTTTGTTGCTGTTCAGAGGGGTGTCCAGTTGCTTTGTCTACTTAAACATTCAAAAATAAGGAGATCAGTGATAGTAAGTACTAACTTTGCAAGACCAGAAGACTGRTATTTCTTTTTATTTGGAAAATAAGTTGTACCGTCTAGGAAACAGTAATAGGTTTTCTAGTTATGAACGTTAGCTGGGCTTTATGAGCTTCATAACCTGTTACTGCACAGAGGATAAATGGACCAATTTTCTCTTTTRTCAGAAAGGCCAAGCTGAACTATTGTATCCAGTTTTGTGGCTTGTTTTTAGATAATGACATGGACAAACTGGGAATGAGTTTCAAGAAGAGCGACGAACTATAGTCTCTTAATTGTGATAATGGGGAATGACTGACAATTTGGCATTTTAGKCACAAAAAGCTGGGAAAGAGTTGGAGCCAGTTGCATAAAAGGCTGTTGAATAGGAGGATTCAAGTTTTACCAGGATGAGAAATACAGACCTGAAATGTCAAGAGAGTGTTCTGCATGCTAGTRAAATTTTATGAAAGCAGAGAAGCATGCTGGAAATAGGCTGAGTATGAAGGAGGTACTAATGTACTTCACTGGAAATAACTTAATATCAGACAATCATCTTGGACATAGATGGCAGAGGGTAAATAAAACCTTGTAGGAAGTAAAGGGACTGGGTAACTCCTGATCATCATTTACATCTCTTGTGATGCTCAGAGTTAAACTTTCAAGTTTGTCAAATGGATGGGACTATAAAAAAACATACATAATTCTACATTTGTATGCCACAGCTCGGTTTGTAGGACATTTTCTGTACTTTTAGATTTTGACTGTTGCATTGAGAAACCGTCCCAAATCCATCGTAATCGTCATTCACGAGTACTGAATTCACCGCAGCTGTCAGTAGATGGTGCTGTTTCTCTTCTGATACGTTCCCCGTATCTGTAGTGACGGAAAGACTCCCTGAATTTCTCTTCTATGGACCCTGCTTATCCATCAAGCTTTAAATATATTACATTCAGGAGCATTAGAGGGTTTGGTACTTTTCTTAATTTCTTTACCAGCCTTTATTCCTGCACTATTTTACTGGCAGAGGATGCCTGGTTTTATATCCAAAAGTGATTGCACTGAGCCGTGTGTATTTGTCAGGGAGCAGCTACCTTAAGGTGGATTCACTGAGAGTACCTATGGATGATAATAAAACTTGCAGTTATTCCCTGAATAATCGTTAGAAACTCAAGGAACTTGTAGCTTTTTTTGTGTGTTGTGCAAACCATTAAAGTAATAGTATATGTGTCTATGCAGATGGCTCAAAGCAAAGCCCTGTGATGATATCAGGTGATAACATTAAGTTATAGTTATAGTGTGCTACCTTTCAGACTTGTTTTTGTTTTTTAGAAGTGAACTTTGAAAATATTCAGTAGTGTCACTTTTTGTTTTTGCAATGATGAACTGAATACCCAGGTCATCTGTAGGAGCCCATTAGGTGAACTTTGTATGCTGAGAATGAAGATGATGTTGACAGTATTTCCATATATAATGGGAAGGTTTCTGAGCCCCTGGTAGATTAGTTACCTATACTGTTAAATTATTAGAATGGTTTCTGTAGTGCTTTTGGTCCACATTTGCTGAAGCTTTATCAACTGGTGGAGTTGTTCTGAACAGAAAGCTGAAATGCAGTCATCCCATTTTAGATGCTGGTATAAACATGGGCAGATTTACATGAATTGATCATGGTCTCTGTGCCATTGAACAGATATTGCTGGTGTTGGGGTCACTGGGATAGCTACAGCTGGTGAGTTTCAGGTGAAACTGAGGATGACAAGGTGTTGTAGTGACTTAATTTCCCTGCTCTCATCCTCAGATGACTGTCTTGTTCCTATTGTATGGGACCTGAGGTGTAAGTAGCTTCAATAAATCCAGGCAGGTGGAATTCTGAGAGATGGAAGTGTGCCAGAGTTTTAGGGTACAAGTCATGCACAAGCAGAGAAGGAAAGGTATGGAGCAACGTGAGTGAACAGTTTGTCACTTCTGCCTGAGAAATGAGAGAGAGCAGTTTCTTGACAGGAGWTGAGTTCTCAGAGTTCGTCTCTGATTTAAGCCTTTGATGAGTTTATATTTATGGAGAAAAATTGAAAGTCTGGGTAGTATTTTAGAAAATTTTTTTGCAGCAGATCTATTGGATGGATTTTTTTGTGGCCTTTAGGTGGTACTGCTTTAATATTTGGAGATAGGCAATTCATCTTAATCCAGTGTTCAACATTTCCAGAAGAATTAACTTTAGTATTTTTTTTGTTCATGATTCATTGGAATAACTGTTAAATAATCAAACAATAGTTCTCTGCTAGTTAAAGGTGAATGGTTTAAGTGTTGCTTTGCAATATATAATATATGGCATGAGTGGACCTTTGACTTCAAATTCCAGTCTTTGTTTCACCTTGACAGCAGAGTTATGGTAATCTCTTGTGGCTGTGGGTACGGACAGGTAGACAGTTCTCTCCGGGAAKTTAAAAAATGTACAAAACACTGATGGTATGATTGGGACTAAGGTAATAAACTTTAGCAGTATTGGAGGTAGAGCTGGAAAAAATTTTGATCTGATGTCTCTACGCCTAATTCCTGCATTAATAGGGTAGAAAGGCTACTTCAGAATGCAGAATGGTTTTAAAGGACTAATGAGACATATGCTTATTTTTTGAGCAATTTTTAGAAGATGAGGCAAAAGTTTTTGTCAAATATGGAAATGTATTAAATGTTTTAAGCATACTTTCTTGTATAAAGTAGATTACCTTACTTGCCTGACACAATGGTGGTCTGCTTTTTACATACCAAACTCTGTACAATTACAGTTGCAAAGAAACCCATTTGTCAGGCTCAATGTTTTTGGTTGCTRCTCAGTGACTTTGTGGTGATTGAGRATCAGATATGCA